TTGGTCCTTGGGGGTGAAGTTGGTTAATAAGTGTGCATGCTTTTTAGTTGTATTGTTTTAGGTTTCTTTGTGCTTTGTTTTAAATGTGTTAAAACTGGAATTGAAAAAAGCTTGAATAAAACATTAAAATTAAAACAAAAAACAAACCAGGGCTATTGAGAGCTTCCAACAGTTTATCTGTTGGCACAAAAATAAAAAAACCAAAACCACTCCACTGAAGAGGTAAACATGCAGAAGTTCTACAGGTTGCGGCCCCACATCAGTCGGGGAGACTGATATCCAAGGACAAAATATGGGTCGAGGTACATCCTCGATCCATATGGCGGTTGCTTTGTGAAGGCAGGGCACTGCATATGCCCAGTGGGGACTGAGAACTTTCTTACAAAACCCTATTCAAATGGGTACGAGGCTAATGACCAGGCACACCAGAAAAAGGCAACAAGGTGATCCTCTAGTTCTAGAACGGTGCGTGCTGCAACAAAAAAAGCCAAAATGGTCTTTTAATAGGAGGATCTAATGGCAGAGGGGCTGTGACCCCCACCATGGCAAGCTCATGAAGTCTGAAGCAACTCAGTATCAGACAGCCACAGCATCTGATGTGTCACAAAAAAAAAGAAGTTGGTCTTTTAACCACTTGCTGTCCGGAGCAATTTACTTACTATTTGCACACATGATAAAATCTGAATTTTTGGCTAGAAAACATCTTCAGACACCCAAACAATGACATATTTCCTGAAAGCAGAGGCCCTGTAGAGAAAGGTGAAAAAAAGCGTGTTGCAATTTTTTATGTTGCACAGTATTTGCGCAAATGTTTATCAAACCGGTAATTTTAGGGTAAAATACACTAAAATGGAATTAAGTGCACAGAAACAGAATATAATACCCTATTTTTTGGTAAAATATAAAAGATGGGGTCACATCAGGTAAATAGATAACAAACATGTCAAGCCTTAAAATTGCATTCGCCCATGAAGCCGCAAAAAACAATACCCAAAATTTCCCATGGGGGACATTTTAAAAGCTTTTACCGCTCATCAGTTTTTTTGCAACAGTGAATAATGGCTCTAGAATTATAGCTCTTAATCTGATGTTCGCGGCGATATGTAACATGTGGCGCACCGACTCGTGTGTGCGAATGGGTGGGAAGGGACTTACATTTTTCGATGTTACTTTAATTTTCATATATTTTAAACACTTTTTTTTTTTTACACTAACTTTATTGCTGTCACATAAGGGGGGGGGGTAATAAGCCCCCTATGTAATAGCAGATAGGGTGTGACAGGTACTCTTTATGGAGACATCAGGGGTCTTTCAGACCCCTGTCACCTGGGGGGCCCAAAGAAGCTTAGGAAGCAGAGATCTCATTCCCCAGCTTCTTCTCCTGGCTCTAAGAGCCGGAGAATGTAAAGTGATGTGTATTACATTACTTCCGGGTCCAGTGATCAGAGAACAGATCAGCGGCTGGAAGGCTGCTGATCGCTCTCTCCGATAGTTGTGGGGAGACTTGCCGTGCCCACACGGGGGACAGCAGAGCCTGGGGAAGCCTTCCATTGCCGGCTGATTAAAATGACACCAAGAACAAGGCTGTATTCTTGGTATAATCACTTCAGTGGCCCGCCGTTTATTTACGCACTGCGGTCCTAAAGTAGTTACACAGTAGAGCTGCAGAATAGAGGTCAAGCTTCCTAAGACACAAGCAAAATACATTTAAGGAAAGCTGCTAGTAGGATTGGTTATCCTGGTTTGGCCTACAGCCTTTTTTCATTTGCCAGTGTTCAATCCATCTATAGGCAGCAGAGTAACCTGAACATGAAATACCTACTGTGTCCCTCATTGGATGTAAAAGAAAATCAGTTATGAGATTTTAGAAGACTGTATATGGAACACACTATCACATACAGACTTCTATTTTAGCTACAGGCCCAGACTACTTTTAGAGCTTTGCCCAATACTCATCATAAAAGAACCAGATGCAGGTAAATTGCCATCTACAAAGCATATCCCTGAATTAAGTTTTATGTGGGGCTTTCAAAAACCATCACAGAGAAAAGCACCAAGCTATTACAACCAACCAGAAGTTGCGTGTGGGGGGGGGGGGGGGTCTTTGTTTCACTTACCATGCCTTTCCTGACAAACTAGTGTGCAACCAAAGATTCCAATTTCAAGTCTTGTCTTGCAGCATGACATTTCATTTTTTTTCCAAACAGTGTTTATTGCATGGACGTGCTCCTGGGAGGTACTGGATGCACAAGAGGTAAATATTTTTTGGAGGAAGACATCTGTGTAGAGTAGATCACCTCAAGTGTAATTGGCATGGGCTTACACTGCCATTGAAGACTTCAAATCTATTGTAGAACCACTGCATCCCTACACCAGGTGTGAAGGTGTAAGAGGACCAATCCTTCAATTAATATCTAGGACTAGAAATACAATTGTGAATTGTTACCTCAATGGTCCCCCGGTGTGACCTCTCCCCTTCTGGGTTATGACCATTTATAGCAAAATCTTCTTTCTTTAATTTTTCTATAAATATCTAGGACTAGAATTAGGTTTTTTAGGCTCCTCTGTTAAGCAACCCCCCTTATATAACGTTGCGCTGCTACTTGTATATACAATATATACAGCAGGTCCTGGGTGAAATGCCAGTAAATGTGAATGAGTTTACTGGGGGTATTAAAGTGCATCACTGGAAATACCAGTAAAAAAATACATCTACGGAGTCAGATCAAGCTGCAGTTTAGAAGTCAGATCAACAACAACAAAAATCCCTGATTGGCTGCTATATGACTACACTGAGAGTCAACAGATTTCCTGACAATCATGAATATTTCTTCTGCAATATATAGGGTTGGACAAATCCCCAGAATAAAGGCGGTCAATGCTCCTATATAAAAAGCAAAATAAAAAAAAAGCCTCCATGGTGTTGCAGTTGATGGATGGTCTTGGCTTTGAGTTTAGCAATAACTTTTTTGCAGAATTAAGGTGTTTGACACATGCTTAACCCCTTTTTGTCTGGAGTTACTGCCTCAGACACACATGTAGCCATTTCTGCTTTTATATAAAGTTGGGTTTGCACACTTTTGACCCTGACAGCAATACGAGCAGCCGAGCTATCAGTAGGCACCACCCAAGCTGAAGTGGTCTTAGGAAAAATAAATAAATATTTTAGGGCCCTATTCATAATTATTGATTGCAGTAACATGCAAGGCACCATATACGTGTTAGCAGTGCCAATAATGATCAATGGAACCTCAAAGCAACTCACCTAACATACTACTGTGTTGTGTCAAAAACATTTTTTTGTGCTTTTTTCCCTAAATCAGAATAAATCTCTCTGGCAAAACATATAGTATAGTAACATTTGGTGGCAAAGTAAATGCATCTGTAGAAATAGGACATGTTTGCAAACATAGATCACCTCAAGTGTAATTGGCATGGGCTTACACTGCCATTGAAGACTTCAAATCTATTGTAGAACCACTGCATCCCTACACCAGGTGTGAAGGTGTAAGAGGACCAATCCTTCAATTAATATCTAGGACTAGAAATACAATTGTGAATTGTTACCTCAATGGTCCCCCGGTGTGACCTCTCCCCTTCTGGGTTATGACCATTTATAGCAAAATCTTCTTTCTTTAATTTTTCTATAAATATCTAGGACTAGAATTAGGTTTTTTAGGCTCCTCTGTTAAGCAACCCCCCTTATATAACGTTGCGCTGCTACTTGTATATACAATATATACAGCAGGTCCTGGGTGAAATGCCAGTAAATGTGAATGAGTTTACTGGGGGTATTAAAGTGCATCACTGGAAATACCAGTAAAAAAATACATCTACGGAGTCAGATCAAGCTGCAGTTTAGAAGTCAGATCAACAACAACAAAAATCCCTGATTGGCTGCTATATGACTACACTGAGAGTCAACAGATTTCCTGACAATCATGAATATTTCTTCTGCAATATATAGGGTTGGACAAATCCCCAGAATAAAGGCGGTCAATGCTCCTATATAAAAAGCAAAATAAAAAAAAAGCCTCCATGGTGTTGCAGTTGATGGATGGTCTTGGCTTTGAGTTTAGCAATAACTTTTTTGCAGAATTAAGGTGTTTGACACATGCTTAACCCCTTTTTGTCTGGAGTTACTGCCTCAGACACACATGTAGCCATTTCTGCTTTTATATAAAGTTGGGTTTGCACACTTTTGACCCTGACAGCAATACGAGCAGCCGAGCTATCAGTAGGCACCACCCAAGCTGAAGTGGTCTTAGGAAAAATAAATAAATATTTTAGGGCCCTATTCATAATTATTGATTGCAGTAACATGCAAGGCACCATATACGTGTTAGCAGTGCCAATAATGATCAATGGAACCTCAAAGCAACTCACCTAACATACTACTGTGTTGTGTCAAAAACATTTTTTTGTGCTTTTTTCCCTAAATCAGAATAAATCTCTCTGGCAAAACATATAGTATAGTAACATTTGGTGGCAAAGTAAATGCATCTGTAGAAATAGGACATGTTTGCAAACATGGAAACATACTAACACTTTTGATAAAAAGATACTTTATTAGGAGTATTTATAAAAAAAAAAATATACAGGAGGTATACACACACAGATCATATTAGGTCTCATTGTGGAGCAGGGGGGGGGATCCCCAGAGCACTTTACCTTTCCTTTTCATGTTTCTGGGGAGAGTCTAAAAGGAGAAGTTAAATGTTTTGGATGCAGACACCTTAAAACCCAACTCCAGCCAATATTTTTTTTTAGTTTTGGAGGGGAAAGAACATGACAGAAATATTTACTATTTCCAGGTCTACCCAAATCTAAAAGTCTTTTGGATGTGGTTGGGCTTTAAAGGAAACCACTTATAAGACAAGTGGCTTTGTTGCCATTTCTAACCAACCTTTAACACTACTATTTTCCTTGCTGTTAGACTGAGCTGCTAGACAGAACTTCTAATCTGCACACTAGATCCAGGTTAGAGACTCAGACTTTACTTGCTGCACACTTGTTTTGGGGTCACTAGCTGGCAGTACAAAATCCAGGGGATAAGCAAGACAGCCAACTAGAACTTCAGCAACGACAGCCAAGGGATTTCTCATATGATGGGGCTTCTTTAACGTTTACTTATCTCTATGTACCAGCATTACTGTTAGGGTTACTGTGACCTGGACTAGGCAGGTCTGGCAGTTGAAGCATTGAACAGATCACCCATGGCAATCTGTACTACTCTAATAAGTGAGAGGCCAGGAAGACCAAAATACAATGAATCAGGTCAATGGACACAAACACACATTTATGTAGGGTAGTTTTGAGAGGCATATTTACAATGACCAGCAGTAACATTTGTAAGGCACTGCTCAATTCAGGTTACGTTTAAATTATACAATAGAAGAAAAAATAGGCGAGATGGATCCTGCCTGTGGGTTTTCCACTTGTGGTAGGATACCGCATTGTAAAGATAGCAGCAACAGTAACAGAAAAAAACAAAAACTAAAGAAAAGACCAATTCAGGGAGAAAGGCAGTGACACATGCGTGTTAAGTATGTTTCATGCCTGACAGAAATCGGACAATTGTAGCTTCATCTTTATAGCAATTGCCTCTTCCCCCTTCGCTCTTAGTGGGCAGCAGCTAGTTCAGCAAGTCCTTTCAATGCGATGACTTTGGGATTTGTAGCCACACTTTTTGTTGTGTTATGAGTCTTATAAATACCAATCAGTCTGTCGGCAATCTCAAACATGTTGTTCCGCAATGATATAATGATGAACTGGGCATTTTTAGTTTGTTCCTAAAATACATGGAGGGAAAAAAAAAAGCACATCAGAAAATACCATCCAATGAAAAAGAAGCCATCTCCATTTTGCTGGAGTACAACAAGATCATTCACATTAAAGTTTTGTAGCTTCTAAAAGGCAGAGATTAGATCTCTATGCTTACCCTGCTTTTAGATCATTGGGAGTTGGACAAAGCAGAGTCTGTCCCCACCATGACTGATACATGAAGTACAGAAAGCAAAGCTCATGGAAAGTTATGCTGTGTTGCCAGAAATGATGTAAATAATGTTTAGGGACAGACTGACCTAAATCAGAACATATTGGTGGTGGGGGCTAAAGAATAAACAGCCTTTGCATGCTATTGCAAGGTCCACTTTAGGGGATGCCTTTACCTACCATTTTAAAAAGGTCTTAAAACAGGAGAAACATTTTTGAATAATTTCATTTTTGAATAAATTGTTATAAATGGAATATGTATTTAAAAACGGTTTTTACCAACCATTTCTCGGAATGTGTAAATACACAATGGAGGGACACATTTGCTCTCAACTTGTGTGCTTGCCCAGAGCAACAACTCAGCTTGTAGCTTTCATTTTTCTCACACAAGTTTAAAACATGAAAATGAGGATTGGCTGTGGTCCAGTTGAGACAAACTGTCTCAGATACTTTATTAATCCCTTTCCCCTCCTTGTCAAGGAAAGGGCTTCCCCATAGGAAACACAGTCTAATTGAAGCCTCTAACAGAGCTTTAAGGTGCCCATACACTGTGCGATTATCGCTGGAAATCCCGCGATCGTACGATAATTGCAAAGTGTATAGAAGGTGTGCGACCGTTTTTACTGCACGTCTTTTGTCTTAGGAGCATGCTAGAAAATCAGCCGAGAATCGTACGAATTTCAGCTGGTTTTTAGCATGATCGTAACATCAATGCCGCACGCGCACACTGCCCGTTCAGCATTGCGGTCATCGGAAGCCCGCCCCTCAGGGGGGCAGGCTTGCGATGATCGCAAGTACGATCTGCCTGTCCAAGATGGGCAGATCGTACGTTTTTTTAAATTACTTTACAACCATCGCAAGTGTATGGCCACCTTTACAAAGATGTGGATGGGCGAGGTCACTGGTCTGACTCGCTCACTCGTACATGTGAATTTCAGTTGAAACTATTGAGCTCTGTAAACAGGCTTTTTACATAAGGAGGCAAGGAGAAAAAGGAAAGCCCTGAAAAGGAGCAGAGAACCCCATCGTCTGGCTGCATAAGAAAGCAAATTATATGTAAGATTTATTATTTATTGAGCAAGAGAATCACTTTTAAAAGTGTTTTTTTTTTCTTGACCAAAAGTTATAAACACAATATATCAAACTTCAAAAAGCTACTTACATAAATATAGAACGCCACAATGGAAACATTTTTGAAGTCTAGAGCCGCATCAATCTCATCCATGAAGTACAGAGGAGTTGGCTTGTAATGGTGAAGCGCAAACACCAGAGCTAAAGAACTCAATGTCTTCTCTCCCCCTGACAAATTAAATATCTTCTTCCAACTTTTCTTTGGTGGTCTCACACTAGTAAGGAAAAACATTTAGAACATTTCAGGCATAAAAAAATAAAGATGTTACATAAAAAAGCGTTTAAAACAATCTCACGGATTTGAAATATCTGCCTTAAACTAGTTTTACAAAACACAAGGATTAGGTCTCTGTCAACATGGAGTTCTGACAATCAGGATCTACCACTCTGAAGAAGCCAGATGTTTTACTTATGGGCACCTTGGTTATCGGTAAATATCTGAATAGGCAAATATTTTAGCACTTTTGACAAGATTATGAAAGCAGCACACAGGGGAGAAGGTGGAAATAGAGATGTAAAATTTCCAGAAATTTTGAAGCCATGAGAAAAAAACTTTTCCCCCCGTAAAACTTTAAAAAAAAAAAAATCAGTGTGAAGTATTTTTACAAATTGAAAGTCCTTTTGTTACACTAGGAACGTAAAATACAGTGTATATATAAAGGTATTATGCTTGAAATAAACGTACAAAGTAAATAAACTAAACTTGCTTCTTAAAATTTTATTTTATATTTGCAAATTGCAGCTTTGCTCTCAGCAGAAGTTGCACTGTGGAAAATGTTTCCAATCTCTAGATGTTGGTCTCACAATTTTACTGAGGAGGAAAAAAATGATTTACTGACCAGACTCTAGGTAAACATTAGAGTGTGATGGTGTAGAACATTATTAGGAATCATTTAAAGGTTAAAGATAAACTAAATTTGTCAGACAAATGTAACCACTTACCTGAGAGGACAAAAAAAACTATCTACTATCATAGCAACAATCACCCAACTGTAGGAGGTACAAGATAGAGCCACCATTCTAGGGTACCCTTTGTTTTGCCCTGAATGGCTTTAACCAACAAACTTCGCACAATACATCTTTGTCTGATACCTAGGCTGTGCTTGGATAACTTATGGCATGCAATATATTCAAGTGAAGAGCACAAAAGTCCTACTTCAATTTTAAACTACAAATATCCAATATACAATGCAGTAATAATTAGAAATAAAACCAACCTGAATGCAATGCCTTCTGAAAATGGATCCAAGCTGTCCACCAATTCAAGCTCTGCATCTCCTCCTAGGGTTAACATCTGGTAGTTTTCTTTCAACTTGTTTGTTATAACATTAAAGCCAGCCATGAACTCATTAAGTCTTTGCTTGCGAAGATCTTCATATGCTCGTCTGAATCTATCTCTTTCATTCGTGATTTCATCAAGTTCTGCAACTCTTTGTAAGTACAGCTCTTCCTATTCACGGGAAATTGACAGCAATAAAAAATGTATTCCGAACTGCAAAATAACCTGAACTATTACATTCTCACACACACACACACACACACACACACACACACACACACAACACAGCAAAGACTGAACTGGGTTTCTGAACAACCAACGAGGGCTGCTGTCAATGGCAATATAACAAAAATAAAAAGCCATGATGGAAGCAGCCACTGCATGGCTCACCACATGCTAGCTTCAAGGCAATGGTTACCTCTGCAAACTAGTACAAGATTTGCGAGTCAGGGATTGGCTGCCTCCATCACTGCATGTCAGAGGACTCTTGAAAGGGTAAATCCACCAAATGAAAACCCGAGGTCAGTCCACCAAATCTACTACTGATCCCCATATCACCTGAGCTCTTCTACACCAGCTATTTTAACTCGCCCCAGTAGATTCCATATTTTACATAAAGGAGGCGGTAGAAAGAGGAACATGAAGTGGGCAAAGTTGGAAACGCCGTATGATGATCTCACTGCTGGAACCCTTAAAGGATTTTAAAAGGCAGCCTACCGGCAATCCATATAGAATACAAATGCCTGTTGGAGTGACCCTTCTAGAAGTTTTATTGCACAATTCCTTATGCACCCTAGACAGAAACGTCTCAAGATAATAGCATAGTTGTTGCACTGTCATAACGTTAAAAAGGCAAATATCCACAATATTTAAAACAGAAATGTACCTTTAAAGAATGATTGATATTTGCTATGCAGATGATAATCCCTTTCTAATAAAGGTTTTAACACTTTTTCCTGGAACACTGTAAAAGACTATTTAAATGGTCGAGCATGGCATAAACATTAATGGCATGGATTGTATGAACGGCTCAGGCTGGTGTGGGGGGGATATTTTTTTGACCCACTTTAGTCCCCATAGTACCAACTGAGCATCATGTAAATGCCATGGCCAACCTGAGTATTGTTGCTGACCATGTCCATCCCTTTATGACTACAGTATACCCATCTTCTGATAGCTGCTTCCAGCAAGATAAGCACCATGTCACAAAGCTAAAATCATCTCACATTAGTTTCTTGAACACGATAATGAGTTCACTGTACTCAACTGGCCTCCACAGTCACCAGATCTCAAACCAATAGAGCACCTTTGGGATGTGGTGGACCGGAAGATTCGCCTCACGGATGTGCAGACGACCAATCTGCAGTAACTGTGCGATGCTATCATGTCAATATGGACCAGACAGTCTAAGGAATGTTTCCAGCACGTTGTTTAATCTATGCCACGAAGAGTTAAGGCAGTTCTGAAGGCAAAGTGGTTAGTGAGCGTATAATAGAACCAATGAAGCTGTAATGCTGGCCAAGTGTGCTTCTCACATCATTGGTGTATGTAGGTGGTGGGGGTAATCTAAATTTGGCTAGAACTAAAAAGATAAATACACTTTTGCTTTCCTTTACCTTGTGCCTTCCCCTCGGCAATTTTATAGATCATTCTTTCCTGCATATATGCTCCACCAGGTTCTTCAATGTGCAGCCTGCCCAATGCACAGTTAAACCATGTTCCACAACCTCTGTTCACTTCAATGGAAAGCCCATCTGCAATTCTAAACATTTCAAACAGAAGTTCTGCAACACCATAGTGATCTTGGGAGGAACAGCGTTAGAGGCAATCATAACCTATTCCAAAATTGCAGGCGGGGGGGGGGAGACAGGAGGTACACAAACAGGTAAATATACTTGTCTTTTAAAGACAAAACTATTCTGTATTCCCAGTTGGGAGGATTTTCTCATGTAGGACTACATCTTTTTAGTAGGGATGTCCAGATACCAGTGCTAATACTTGGCACTTTCATGAGAACTACCAGGGTTGCAGCTGGTACCTAGCTCTGGCACTCCACCACTGTCCTGAAATCATTAGTCGATATTGTTTTTGAAAAAACATGACGATAAACAAAAATGTATCAGTACTTGTAAAATGGTATTGGTGCATACCTTATATATTTATAAAAAAATCAGACATTAAGACAGAGATGTACAAATCCCAGGAGCTCCGTGTGCTCCTTACAAATGACAGCTGCCTCCTAAATTTTGAATTTTTCTCTAATCTAGTCTTGGAGCTCAAAGTATCTGTACTTGTACCGAATACGTACTTGGCATCTGAACATGGCTACTGAAAATAAGCACATTATGAAAGGAAGTCTACAATGAAATATGCAAGTCATTACATTCCAGGATATACCGTATTTTTCCGTGTATGAGACGCTACTTTTTCATAAAAATGTTTATCTAAAAATAGATGTGCGTCTTATACACGGGGGCCGCGGTTTTGAAAGTGCTGATACAACTGCAAACTAGCCTCACGGATTGCAGAGACATGATAACAGTTCCCCTCCAGTCATAAATCTTTTTAACCTGACGTGAGCTGTTGCTGGGGAGATCGTGTAGGCAGTGCCCAGAGCGGTAATGTCGGAGTATTCTGTGACCATAAAAATGGCAGAAAGTGAAAAACAACCTGTAAACTCTCTAAACTCATGGTATGGTGTCAAACAAGAGGCGATTGTAAAGTCCTTCAAGAAATGTGGAATCAGCAATGCCATGGACGGAACTGAGGATGATCTTGTATATATAGACAGTGACTCAGCAGACAGCAGTGATGCAGCAGAAGTTGAAGAAACTGATATGTTTGAAGCTAAAAGTGATGAAGAAACCAGTGATGCAACAGAGGCTGAATAAAGTGATTGGCTCAGAGGTAAGTGTGATGCATAATATCATTTAAAATATTGATTTCTGAATTTTGGGTAAGAAAAGTTGGGGGCGTCTTAAAGACGGAAAAATACGGTATTCTGATAAACTCCTAATCCGATACCGTTTTAGAACTTACTTTCTGCTTGTATGCAGCAATAGCACCAAGATTCGGTTTCATGTTCCGACTCTCAGCTTCCAGCAGGGCAATTTTTTCTTCTATCCGTCTAGGGTTGATTATTGCCTCTAACTCTTCTTGGGTCAGTGTGGAAAGGACCTCTTCTGGATTGTCTTCTATTTTATGAAGGGCAAGTTTGGATATCTACAAATAAAAACATGCAAAAAACAGTCTGCAAAATTGTATGTAATTTAAATAACAGAACAAAAAAATCACGTAATAGTCATCACCTAAAAAGCCTGCCAAGATCTTACCTCTTTTTGCCAGTGTTTTATTTTAGATTGGTGTTCGGCAATACTGCTATCAATTTGCTCAATTTTAAGCCTAATATTAAGGGAATCTTTCTGAAGGGCATGTTCTTTATCCTGAATTGATTTAATTTCCTGCAGCAAACCTTTGTGCTTTTCTTGAATATCAGGAAGTGAACCCTAATCAATAGAAAATAAACAAGCGTGTGTGAGTGTGTATACATTATTGATAATGGTTATTTTCAGCAGCATATGCAAAGAAGAAGCTTAAGAAAACTCAGACTGCTTACTATAAGATATGCAAGTTAAAAGTCCACTTTCAGCTTTAGCAATACATACATGGACAAAACACATGTAAAAAGAGCAAAGAAAACACTTGTTTGCTAAATTAGTAAGGATCACATGGCCTAAAGACAAAGAAAAGAAAAAAGCGTCCTTTTTAAATGTTGAGGTTAAAAGCCACACATGAATTACCATCACTAAATTACAACTCCACTTTCACATTTCCAGAAAACACTATAAATAAGGGCATTGAAAAATGTATAACATGCTGCGACTGGCACAGAATCAGTTATTTCTTAATATGGGTAAACAAAGGAAGGGACCTTACTACCATGGAGCATTAAACTAGTATTAATGTCTTTCCTCCAAGGATGTCTCATTCCCCATGTCTTTAAAAAGTCGCTGTGGTACACAAGACTCAACATTCGTGTGAATTTTGGACTTTTACTTCATATGTGCTTCATTAACCCCTTGCCATCCACCCATCGTAAAAATTACGGGCGGGCGGCGGATCCTCCCTGGCAGGGTTACGTAAATGTACGTCTTTTTTTTTCTCTGCGGTCGCGGGCGAGCAGAAACCCGCCGGCAAGGATAACCGCCGTTACCGGCTGTCTCATACAAGCGTTCGGCCAGCTCTACAGCCGGCCGATCGCTTGTATAACCCTACAATGTGCTGCACGCCCCCCGGTAGCCGCTGTCCCCCCTGCGGTGCCCGGGACTGACAGGACTGGCACAGCGGCTGCTCGAAGAGAGAAGGAGGAGAGATCTGCATTTGCCACCGCTGATCCCTCCCCCTTCTCGTGCTCTAAAGGCGGAAGCGATGTGCATTACATCACTTCCGCCTTTAGCTGTCATACCTCTGGCTGGGAGCTTCTTTGGGGGTCCCTAGGTGACATTAGGGGTCTTGGGGACCCCTGATGTCTCCATTAAGAGGACCTGTCATTGTTTTCCAGCTATCACATGGGGGGCTTTTTAGCCCCCTATGTGATAGCAATCAAGTTAAGTGTAAAAAAATAAGTTTAAAACTAAAAAGTAAAAAAAACACCAAGTTTTAAGTCCCCTGCCCCCGCACTTATACACGTCGGGTGTGCCTACGTGCAAAAACAACGATTGCGCCGCACATGTTACATATCGACGCGAACGTCGGAGTGAGAGCAATCATTTTAGGGCCATTAATCACTGATCACACTAAACTGATGAGCGGTAAAAGCTTTTAAAGCGTCGCCATTTTAGGCATGGCAGTTTTTTTGCGATTTTGTGGGTGCACGCAATTTTAAAGCTTGACATGTTTGGCGTCTATTTACCAGACGTGACCCCATCTTTTATGTTTTACCAAAAATATGGGTAATAATAAATGTTTTATAACATAACGTAGGGATAATAGTTTTAAAAAAATAAAAAAACGCAGTGGTGACTTAATACCACCAAAAGAGAGCTCTAAGTGTCCCTAAAAAAATGGTATAAAATTATTTCAGTACAGCGTTGCATGACGGAATAAATGTCAGTCAAAGTACCGCAGCGCTGAATACTGAAAAATGGCCTGGCCAGGAAGGGGGTTCAACACCCCGGTCAGCAAGTGGTAGCTGTGGCATACACTGCAAATCAAAGTGATCAATGTACCTCTGCCTCTTTGCATTCATTCATAACTGCAGCTGCCTTTTCCTCCAGCTGCTTTAGTTCTTCAGACAATTCTTCTATCGATTTGTCATTGTCAACAATCTCCTTTTCAGTGCGAACAGCAGACTCCTCTGCTTTCTTGAGGTTTCTACAAGGTGAAAAGCAAAATCAGAACATTCTCTAAAAGCAGAACTCCAAACAAAAATAAAAGCTGGTTTTGTAACTTCATCTTTTAGTGGGCTTTTCATATTTGATTTAATACTTACCATCAATAAGGAGCTTCTCTCCCACTCCCCCCGGTATATTTTCTGCAACTAGATATGCTAAGTCTGGTAACAACATTCAACCTACTCCCCCCATTCCTGGACCTGCCCCAAGCCTGTGACAGGACAGTAAAAGAAGCAGCACAGTGATGGGCTCATCAATCTGTCCCTCTGCTTTCTCCTCCTATCAGCATGCTGTTTATCAGTACATAAACGGATTGGCTCCTTGCACTGCTTCTTCCCATAACACCATAGCTTTGCTGAGCAAAGACTGCAAGAGCCTAACACAAAGGCAAAATTCAAGTATTTACACTGCTTGCATTTACAAAGCCATTTACTGATGTATTCATGATTACAGAGCAGCATTATTTTGTGTCTTTTATAGCTGCCTTGAGTTTAGCTTTAAATGTAACTCGTCTTTATCCTTGCATTTACAAAAGGCAATTAATGTAAAAAATTGTGCCAGCACATAATTCTGTAATTCATGCAGAAAACAAATTTCCTGCCAAGTTATAAACCATACATTAATAATAATTAAAAAACAAAACAGTAGAATGATGAGGCCACAGCTTTTTTTTTCCTGCCACTTCAGCATATACTAATAAATGACTCCCAGTTTTACATTATGTACCTCTGGGCAAGGGAGAAGGTAACTAGCAGGTCTGTCACAATGCTACGCGGGCATAGCCCCAGAGATAAAGTGAGCAAGGCTCTGACATCATAACCTGAAGCTGGCTTCATAGCCTAGAAATCCACAATGTCAGAAAAGGCCCACTCGCACAGTTAAAAAAAAGACAAAACATAAAAAGAGAGAAGAGACATACAAAACAAGAAAGACAATGCAAAAAACAAACAATTTAACTAAAAATATTTTTCCTTAACGGAATGGAGTCACCAAAACACAGGCTACTTTCCGCTGGTACACTGAGGGCCGCACAATAAGTGCCAAAGGCCCACATGTTGCGGAGCAAAGGATTTAGCCTTCTGCGTTAGGCACTGTAGGCAACTGGTGCCCATGAGATGTCTGAGGATTGCTGTGCAGTACTGTGGGAGCAGAAGTGGCCTGGCTAATCAGTGTGTGCCAAAGAGGAAAATGGCACAAGCATGCACAGTGACATCCGTGTAGTCTGCAAAGGCATAATGGTGGCAAAAAGGGTGCTTCTGTCTATGGCTGTGACTTTTCTAATATGTCACAGCCTGCGCACCACTTAACTTCAGAGGGACCTGGAGCATCAGCACACTGGACAAGGGAATTACCTTCTTACAGTTGCCCAAGGTTTAGCCGAAGAGTCAAAACTATCCGGAAAGCTGTAGAAACTATCCATAAAAAGAGGTGAGCTTCTCTGAGTGGTGAGATGTCAATCACCTGAGAACCTGGCAGTTCAACCCATGGTTAAGACTGAAGGTCGGCGGGTCTGTAGCATGTTTGTAAGATAAAAGCCGGACGTGCCGGTGTGCGCAAGCACACACTGCCCGTTCGGCATTGCGGTCATCAGAAGCCCGCCCCTCAAGGGGCGTGGCTTGCGATCATCGCAAGTACGATCTGCCTATGCAACATAGGCAGATTGTACGTTTTTTTTAAGTACCTTACAACCATCGCAATACAACCATCGCAAGACTTTTGTCTTGCGATGGTTGTAAGGTGTGTGCCCAGCCTGATCCTCTGTCCTATACTGTATAATTATACAAAAGGATGCAGTTAACTAAAGATACCCTATAGAGGCTTTAACCCGACTTGCAGTAAAACTACAACCCCCTTTACCAAAAAAAGCAAACATATTGCTTAACAAAATAAATAAATCCTGTAATATTATCCATATGACATCAGCTGAACAAGATAATTAAGTGTTCTGGCCGATGTGTTAATTGATCAGCTCTGCCTGTGGGTCAGATCTTTTCACCTGAGAACATGTGATCAAATGCAAAGACAAATGGGGGTATGACCAGCCGCTGTGAGTAATACAAACACAGGTTTTATTATTTTATTACAAGGGAGTAGAATGAAATAGGGGTTGGGGCAAGAGACACCAAGTTACAAAAAAAAGGTGAATTAACTGACCTAGATTAGTCAGCCAGTGAAAACATGGAGGCATGGTTCTTAGGTGAATGTCTATGTAGCTGTATGTACAATGTTGGAGGGGGAAAAAAATTAATCATAGCTTGTGTATTCCTGTGTGATAGTTTACATACCTGTCAGCTGTCTTGATGGAAACTTGAGCTTTTGTTATGGAAGATGCGCATTCATCAATCTCCTTGTTGATCTTATCAAGCTTGTCTTGCTGGGCTTTCAACTTGTGATTGTTAATGTCAACTATGAGATTATGAAGCCTTTTCACTTCTGCTTCAATTTTTCCAGCTTTTTCTGCAGCCTTCTCAAATTCTTAAAAAAATAATACAAATAATATGGAGGAATAAATATTTAGGAATAAAAAAAATAGGATTTTGTTCTTAGCGTAAAATCCTTTTCTTCTGATACGTAGGGTTATGCTGCTGCCTCTAGGAGAAATGTACACTATATTGCCAAAAGTATTGGGACATCCCTCCAAATCATTGGATTCAAGTGTTCCAATCACCTCCATGGCCACAGGTGTATAAAATAAAGCACCTCAGCATGCAGACGCTTCTACAAACATTTGTGAAAGAATGGGTCGCTCTCAGGAGCTCAGTGAATACAAGCGTGGTACCGTGATAGGTTGCCACCAGTTCCATCCGTGAAATTTCCTTGCTACTAAATATTCCACAGTCAACTGTTAGTGCATTATAACAAAGTGGAAGCAACTGGGAACAACAGCAACTCAGCCACGAAGTGGTAGGCCATGTAAAATGACAGATCAGGAGTCGATAGCTACAGACCTCCAAACTTCGTGTAGCCTTCTGATTGGCACAACGACAGTGCATGGAGAGCTTCATGAAATGGGTTTCCATGGCCGAGCAGCTGCATCCAAGCCTTACATCACCAAGTGCAATGCAAAGCGTCAGATGCAGTGGTGTAAAGCACGCCGCCACTGGACTCTAGAGAAGTGGGGACGTGTTCTCTGGAGTGACGAATCACGCTTCTCTGTCTGGCAATCCGATAAACGTGTCTGGGTTTGGCGGTTGGCAGAACGGTAATTGCCTGACCGCATTGTGCCAAGTTTGGTGGAGGGGGGATTATGGTGTGGGGTTGTTTTTAAGGGGTTGGGCTTGGCCCCTTAGTTCCAGTTGGGGTGGAGGAACCTGACTGGCCTGCACAGAGTTCTGGCCTCAACCCGATAGAACACCTTTGGGATGAATTAGAGCGGAGACTGCAAGTCAGGCCTTCTCGTCCAACATCAGTACCTGACCTCACAAATGCGCTTCTGGAAGAATGGTCAAACATTCCCATAGACACACTCCTGACCCTTATGGACGCCTTCCCAGAAGAGATGAAGCTGTTATAGCTGCAAAGGGTGGGCCAACTCAATATTGGACCCTACGGACTACAGACTAAGACTGGGATGCCATTCTATTCGCCATTCCAAATTGCAATAGCAGGCTGACGATTGAAACCCAGTGCACTGAGCAGACCCCTGAGAAAGTTCTCTCTCAGGTCTGCTCCTCTGCTCAGTGGGTGGGTACAATAGCCAGCCTGTAATTTGAAATAGCCAATAGCAGGATGGCTCCCCATTGTTTACATTGATGCCAACTGCGAAATCCAGCCGTGGTCAACAGCAGCATGTAAACAAATAATTTTATAAGCAACTATATAAAATATTAAAATAATTTTTTCTGGTGTGACACTACTGTAAACACTTAATGTGACAATCCAATTTGCTAAGATGCAGGGATTTTCTCAATAAGCAAAACAAATGTATTGAAGTAGATTATCTCAGACACAAAATCTACTGTCCGACTTGTAAGCCCCATCACTCTACTACAATTAAATATTTTAACATTTGAACGTATTCAAATAAACTGGTGGAAACCTAAGTGTTTTTATAGGTTGTGCACATTTAGAACACCTGTGCCTGAGCTTAGCAGCAATGGAATCTTGGACAAACAGTGCACAGTAACAATTCTAACCGTTAGCCATGGTTCTACCCCCACATATTCTAGCAGCTTAAATGGGTTCTCCACTGAAGGAGGGCCAGTATTGTAGGATGCCATGGATTCTTGAAGTACAGGAACATACCTTTCTTAAACATTTCAAAATTTTTTTCCATCTGTTTTTGTTGATTCTTGTCAGGCGCGGTAGCAGCTACATTAACTTCCAACTCCTTCACTTGTGCTTTCAGATGTATTTCTTGCTCAGAAAGACTCTACAAAAAATAAATAAAATATAGGATTCTGTTCTTGCCATAAAATTGTCTCCAAGTCCATAGGGGACACAGCTCTGAAGAATTCTCAGACATCGGGTTATGCTTTTGCCCCCGAGAAAAATCAACAGAAGATGAAAAAATTAAAAGCCTAACATTTTATGGACATAAATCCTCCCACCTCAAACCTGTCAGTTCTAGCAAGCAGTATAAAAGGAAATGAGAGGATCCCTGTGGATGCTGAAAAAAGAATATTAAGCTGAGCACAAAATACTATTTTCTTTATCGTCCATGTACTTCCGTCACAGCCACCACACTCCTGGTACCTCCCTGGTGATTGGTGTACGTCATCCCCATTGTCTGACTGAATCAGACACTCAGACAGAAGACAAGTCCAGTTAATCACCACCAGATGAAATCGCCCTCAAGCCCAGGACAGATTGGAAGTTTGAATTCCTCCAGAGACCAACAATCCTGTACACACAGATGATCCAAGAAACCACCCCATCCCACTGGAGTCTCCAAGTTATGGGAAGAAATGACTTTCCCATTGCCAACGCAGGGGATATCACCCACCACGACAAGATAAGTGCCACCAATTTCTGGCTGCTCTATATCTTTCACGAGCGCTGCCGCTACTGACTGATTGAAATCTACATCAGTAGCCAGTGAAAAGAATGAGGGAAATAAACAATAATAGTTTTTTTCCAGGTAGTCTAAGCAGAAATAAAGAGGAGAGCTCCCCCATGTGGCCAACTTTTGAAGTACATAAAGTATAACAAGCAAAGGTCACCATAGCAACACATCAGAGGTGCCGTAATGTACAAGCCACTTGACACCAATGTAAATCACAAATGTCAGATGTTTCTGAAAAAAGCCAGTAGTAAGACAGAGTAGGAAAGGAAAAAAATTAACTTCCACACAGTGCCCTGCTAATGAGTCTGTTCTGACAAATGTGCCTCAGACAGATTCCGGCACAATAGTACTTACACCCCGAGGTGTGAGGAAAAATTGAGGTATTGTAACCATCTGCTACACACAGCAGAATAATCGAATAGCTGTGTAAAAGTAAAAAGCAGGATCTCTCTTTTCTCCCCAGTAATCAACATGAAATTGAGGGAAAATAAACAAGGAAGCCAAGTCGAAAAGCTCTGTCCACCTTCACCGCTGATGGAAACACACCGCCCTGAGGAAACCAGAAAAACGGACTGCACATGCTCACACATGAGCAGTAAATTAAAAACAAGTGCACCATCAAATCAAAGACCCGACCTCTTAAAGAGACGGAGGGAAATTTAAATGAAGTCAGTCAAACTCTACATAAAAGCATTTGGCCAAATACGAGTCTAAAAATCACACAGCCAAAGTAAAAGAAAAATGAGTGAAAACACCCAAACTAAGAATGCTTAGGTGAATACATTTGTTTGGTTTTTGCTCACAACTCCATGGCCCTGTTCCCAACATACCAGGAATCCCCAATACTGTCCTGACCGTTAAATGATGAAAACAGGAACACAAAACCACCACAGAACAGAGCATAAGTACTGAGACCAGAAACAACCTGCTTCATGACTAGAGAAACTTCCAGGATTTATTTTATCTGGCATGAATCTCTCAGTTTTGTCGGCTAGCTAGAAAGACTTCCGGATTTAATAATATCCGGTATGAAACTAGCAACTCTTGGTAGTAGAATCTTCAATGAAGATACAAAAGAAGCTAAAGTATTAAACTAGAAGAGAAGGAGAAATCCATTCTCCTGAGAACACCAAGTCAAACTGGCAAGTGTGAGATAGGAGGGAATATGTCCTTAAAGTGGCAGGCTTTTAATTGTTTTGCCTTGTGTCCATTTCTCCTGGAGGCAGCAGCACAACCCTATGTCTCAGAATTCTTCAGAGCTGTGTCCCTCAATGAAAGTTAGGTATGATATTAGAGTGTCTGTATTACCAAACTTGACAATAAAATTGCACTTGACCACTTGTGTGCAAACTTTGTCAAGGAAAGAACCTTGAAACTTTTTACAGGACCCTACGTATGTTGTAGTCACATAAAAGGGAAACTGTAAAAATCATTGATGAGGCTCCTCAAATAATTATACAGCGTACACAGTAGCACAAAAACAAGTACTATTCTACCATTTTGGCATGCTGCAGTATTTAAAAGGTGCAGAATTTGTCCTTGGAACGCTCTCCTTTTTCTGTCCTGCATACAATAAAAAAAAAAAAAAAACTAACAGGGAAAATGGAGCCTGGGGTCCACGAACACAAACACACCATGAAGGCATGACCATGGTGCAAACATGTAGCGAAAGTCTTTTACAATGCAGCAACTTCCCCCAGAATTTTTCCTTTGCCTCAGCTCGGGGTAACCAGCCATCGGTTGCTTACCCTGGTTCTAGCCCTTAAATAACTGGTTAATGCTCTACAGGTTTTAACTAGCAACATATTTACCCTTTAAAACAAGCCTGAACTGGCCCAATATATATCCAAGTAAATTACAGTGCTAAACCTTGTGGTGCCTGCGAGTATCGGCATTGGCTTTTGGATCTAGCTCTGTGGAGCCTCTTGGATTCCAGGAAGTAAATGGGGCCTTAACTTCTCCATCCCCTATGTTTCACCGGTAAATTAACCCCCTCAGACTTGCTAGTAAATGTAACCAGAAAAAAATGCCACCAAACTTTGAAAGTGCCGAAGATGGAAGTAGGTTACACAAGTACAGTACATGGCATAATGCCTGAGTGGCAATATAACATGGCCATACTATCTAGCTTTGATCAGCCATACCTACATTGTTTTCTATTACTGAAGCCTGTATGTTGAAGTCTAGACGGCAATGTTAAATTACTGTTCAAATGCCCAAACATTCTCATAAAGTGCCTAATACTACAGGTGTAAAATCATTTAAATTGCTTATAAAGCAACTGCTTGTGGAAGGTTATCAGTGCTGGGAAGTCCCTGGACCACGTGTTTTTACAACAACCTATACCAAAGCCAGAGCCAAAGCCTATACCAAAGTGAGCCAAGCCTTGTAGCTGTAAACTCTACTACCAACACTGAGTTATCATCATGGATGCAGTATGTCTGACCTCCTGGTTCAGACAGAGGTGGCCTGCTAAGCTACCCTGTTGTCTTCCTGTGCATGCATCATGTACCGACTTACTTCTAATGGCACCCGGATGTGGTAACGATTCATCAGCTTACCAGCATGGATTACCTTGCCTGTGTACACTTGCTGTGTAGTAATGGAATCTGGCCACAATGATTGCCTCTGTATCTCCTAATACTGTTTAGCGCCATCTGCATACAGGTACCTGTAATGTTTTGCTGCACTTGTATTACCTCATGTAAGGCTGGTGAGGTTACGCAAATTACATGCATGATTTCTGATACCTTTATTGTGTTTATCTTGCCATTGTGGTGGGAGGTGGAGGGGGTTTGTTGGTCATAAAAGAAACACTTGTATATGGTGCCTGTCATCTTCATACACATGGGCTCTGCCCCACCACAAAGTAGGACAAACATTATTCATGGATACTCAAGATGTCAAGTGCTTCAAGAAACTGCCTTTGTAGATTGTAGTTATCTATCTATACACATCCACACTCAAACATTTACATATAACTCTTTTTAATTGCAATAAAATGTCAAATTAACGGTCCTAAATGTAATGTTTACCTGAAGATTTGCTGTGAATTTTTCAAATGTATTTTTCATCTCTCGAGTGCTCTGTCGCAGCTTAGCTACTTCTTCTTCAAGCTGAACTTTACTGTCTTGAATAACAGCAGCTTTCTCAGAGTCAGACTTGAGTTTGGACTCCATCTTTTGTAACTATTGAGTAAACATACCCGGCAGAGGAATTTAGAGAAATATAAAAATATTAACTCAAAAAAAATATTAAAATAAAAAAATAAAGCAGTACTACTAACCTCTTCTTCTGAAACTTCCACTACAACAGAGTTTCCCATCCTGCCTTTCATCACCTTCCCTCCGCCACCAGTCATTGTACCTAGAAATGGAAAATTAGCAACATTTTGCATATATGAAATAAAGAGGGACAAATAGGACTACTGCCCTTGCAGAATCTCTCTGCATCTTGTGCTGAAATATGAAACAGATTGGTATCCATTTTAAAATTTTTTTTTATTTTCGTCTGGTGATCCGAACAGTATTAACAGTATTGCTGCCAAGCCTGCCAGAACGCTGCTAACCCCAGCTGGCTACATAATTTTTGCAATTTTTCCCATTGTTTTAATCCTTGCTGCGTTGCTAGCATTTGTAGAAAACCCCCCAAACCATATATTTTCTGAAAGCAGAGGCTCAGTAGAATAAAATTATGCCACTAAATTTGTAGGTCCTGCGATAATTGCGCAAATATTTGTCAAATCAATATGAAACCGATAAAAATACACAATGCAATTGATAGAATCACACTAAAATCAGTATCAGTGCACAAAAAAACAAAACACTTTTCTGACTAAATCTAAAACTGTATTGCCCTAATGACAAGTTTTATCTTTTATAGTGTTTTAAAATGCTGATGAGCTGAAAAAACATGAACTTGTGGATACGCATCTTTTATGTTGAAGGAAACCAGTTGAAGAGAGGCGACAACTGACAATGGAATCCATCCGCATTCTTGAAAACGGACAAATGTATTGAGTGTTTTTAAATCCAGAATTGGAAGAAGGCGTCCATTTGGTGTGGAAACCGTAAACTGGTTTAGAAAAACACCTTTCCACATAAGAAAAGGAAAAATAATGCCATGAGCCAACAGACCATGAACCGTGCAAAATAAATGTTCTTTCAATGCTGCTGAGACATGGAAAGCAGTTTTTTTGTTTGTTTAGGGATGGGAGGGGTTTATGTTTACTCTAGCCGAGACCCTCAATGGGAAGAATATTTTTAAATAGTATTGAAATATTATATGGTGACTGTTTAGAATGAATTTATTTTGTCTTTTACAAATTGCTTTATTGATCAGTTTCCTTCCTATGAGAGACTCCTAATAATGTATTTTGTATGTGAATATTGGTGTATGCATTGTAGAAATAATAAAGAAATATTCTACAGAGACATGGGAAGCCGTGATGCAAAGAACGGAGGCGGAAGATGAAACTATTGACAATATCTTCCAAAAAAGGATGCAGAGATTCAAAACATTTAGGGACCAAAAATTGTTTATGTGGGACTTCCCAATCTTTATATAGAAACCTATCAAAATAGGGCGAAGTGGAAAGACCTTGCAAACACACGCAGGTTTATATGAACCTAGGCTAGGAGAAAAAACTGTGGAAACTTCTAAATTTAAAGAGGAACGCTCACCCCTCAGTATACAAATAGACATGTCTGTAATATACAGATAAAATGAAAGTGCCCCAATTCCTCCCAGAACAACTCATGGCCTCAACCAGTGGGAAGGGAGAAAATAATCAGCCGAGGCATGGTATCTGGTACTGCAGACAGCAGTATAACTGTAGAAATAGCTGTGTTACTGAGGGAGATCGGAGATTCACGGCTTCCACTGCTGAAACTGACTTTTCTGCTTCCAGTAAGGCATGATGGTGATCTGAGGTAAAAGTCGCTGCAGTCCATTGAAAGAAACACTTTACACCTTTAGGGTCCTCACACACCTTACGATTATCGTACGAGAATCGCGGGAAATCCCGCGATCGTACGATGATCGTAAGGTGTGTGGAAGCCGTGCGACCTCTACTACTGTAAGGTCGCACGACTTTAAACTTACGGACATGTTCGAAAACCCACCGAGCATCGTACGATGTTCGGCGGGTTTGTGGCATGTCCGTACGATAACAGCCGCACGGGCAGGTGTGCGCAAGCGCACACTGCCCGTTCGGCATTGCGGTCATCGGAAGCCCGCCCCTCAGGGGGCGTGGCTTGCGATCATCGCAAGTACGATCTGCCTATGCAACATAGGCAGATCGTACGTTTTTTTAAGTACCTTACAACCATCGCAAGACAAAAGTCTTGCGATGGTTGTAAGGTGTGTGCCCAGCCTTAGAGAGAAATCCAGCAGAAATTGGTGACACGTGCGCAGTAAGAAAAACAACCCCAAAAAACACAAGTGCATCATTAAAATTCAGTCCTGGCTGCTTAAAGAGATAATGGGAAATCAAATATCAGTAAACCCCATATAACAGCATATAAGCTACTGTATATCTATACGGGTACAAGACCCAAAGCCACACAGCCCAGATATAATACAATGGAGGGAAAATAACCATCCCACAAATAACTACAAATAATATACAGTTACTCATGACTGCAGGGCCTTGTTCACTCCACATTAGGAATCCCCAGACAATCCTGCACCGAGTATTAACCCTTTCGCTGCCAAGCCCTCCGAAACATTTTTCAACTCAGCTGGCCACACCATTTTCCCCACTGATTTGATGTTCAGCTGCTGGGTTGCTAGCATTTGTAAAAGACCCCCCAAACCATATATTTTCTGAAAGCGCAGGCCCGGTAGAATAAAAAGATGGTGATACTAAATTTGTAGGCCGTGCGATAATTGCGCAAATGTTTCTCAAATTAATATTAAACCGATAAAAATACACAATTCAATTGATAAAACACTAAAATCAGTATCAGTGCACAAAAAATGAATAGTTAGTTAATAACAAATATTTGCAAATTTTTAATTGCGCCTTTTTTGCGAAAAGGTAAAAAAAATTACGGTACGCAAAACTGTAAATAAGCGACTTGTGTTAAAAAATAGTTTTTACGCTGTGTTGGTGTTGTAATAAAATGATACAGGTGTATATTTAATTGCAACACAAAGATCACAAGGCATGGCAATGCGTCACAAAGCTTTGCCATGTGCTGCCACAGCTAATAAAATTTTTCTTTAAAGAAAAAAAATAAATTAAAAAAATCATGCACTGCGATGTATTCTAACAACGCACTGCAGCGCATGTGCATGGCATACACCTCAATATGTGTATGTTATGTGGGGGGAGGGAGGGGTTCTGCTTTTTTTTGTACACTTTTTTTAAATAATTTGATTTTTTTACATTTTCTAATTATATATATATATATATTTTTATATATTACACACACACATTTTTTTTACTGTTGGGACCCCTGACATTTCCCTTTTGAAATAGAAATTGAGGACATTAGAGTCCTCAATTTCTTTTTCTGCAGCCCCAGCACTCAATGAATGGGGTGTAGCACTCAGTACAGAGGCTTCTCATTCATTCAGAAACTTATGATAGCAAAATATTTTTTACTATCACCAGTTTATGAATGGGGAGGAGCCTCTGTACTGAGTGCTACACCCCATTCATACATTCTTGAATGCAGAGGAAGTGATGTAAATCACAGCCTGTTCATAACTGTTCCATTACAGGGACACATAGTGCTATGTGTCCCCAGTCATTTACAAACACTGAAGTGATCAGACGATCACTCCGGGGTTTGCACTGCACAGAGGGATGGTTAAATATCAATGATATTTAACGATCCCCCGCTCGGCCACGCTACAGAGCCGCTGTCATCCGAAAACTCACAGGATGACAGCGGCTCCGATCAGAACACCGCTCGGCCATCCTGGATTGCGGCCAGCTGCCGCTCGCCCCTCCGCCGGCCAATTTTCATCTGATTCCCGCTGTCACAGACCCTACAAGTGGGGGACAGCAGCGGGGATCCATGGAGTCTCTTATCCCTGCTTGGAGCAGCTTCAGGCAGGGATGAGAGACTCCAGATGCCGGCAGCAACTAAATGAATAAAGCAGAAGAGAAGAATACATCCATTCTCTTGAGGACACTAAGCGAAAGTGGCAAGTTTGTGGTGCGAGGGGGTATATCCTTAAAGTGGTAGATTTTCAATTGTCTCGCCTAGTGTCCAATTCTCTTGGAGGCAGCAGCATAGCCCTATGTCACAGAATTCTTCAAAGCCGTGTCCCTCAATAGACAATACAGAATAAGGGATAACAAATAGAGTTAAAGCCCATAGTAAATCTATGTGCTAAAATTACTCCATTATCGTCTTTGTAGCATTGTAAGAAAGCAGCGGGCAAAGATATTACATCACTCTCTCAAACGTACGGCCAGTCTTCAAAACAGACATGCGCTAGACACTACTGGAGCGTACACGTCCTCCTTACACTTACGCAGTCAGTCACAGCTCATGGGCAGCAAGAGATAAGCGACACTATGAATTGCATGGTGTCAATAAGCTTGTCGGTGGCTTGGAAAGTAGAGTGTGGAGAAACAGGGCTTGTGGAGAACCAAGCTTGGTGCGATATTATTCTGAAGGTACATGTGATATATTGGTCTATTCAGTGTATATTTTTCCTGAGGGTTTTCAACCACTACGTTTTGGAAAGAGGAAGGCGTTAGTGTTGTGTCTGTTTGCTCAGTTTATGAGACTTATATTCTCAGTGGAGAGCCCATCTGTTACAGTAACAACTGTAGAGGGTATTTTGTAGGCCACTCCCTACAAAACCCAAAATGGTTTTGGGTGGAGATGGGGGTCTAACCCTTTTGCTGCCAGCGCTGTATCCCTTACGGTTCTAGCTGCAGGCCCCTGTAAACCTGTGTAAAGCATACTGTCGGCTTCACACTGGAAGATCTTCGAAAGCTGCCAGATCGTTTCCACAGGCCAGTGAAAAGTTTAATAGACCCCCGTTTGTCACCTTATAGAGAACCTGTCATCACTAATATGCTATCACATAGGGGGCTTGTTAGCCCCCCTATGTTAACCACCTCCGGGCCGGCCGTAGTAAAAAAACGGCTGGCCCGGAGCTCTCTAGATCTGAGCAGGCGTCTTTAGACGTCTGCTCAGACTCGCCCCCTCGCGAGCGTGAAAATGAGCGCAATTTAGAAACAGGCAGCGGTGCCTGTTAACATACAAGCGATCCACCGGCTGTAGAGCCGGCGGATCGCTTGTATTTTGCAACGATCGGTGCGGGCCACCCCCACCATTGTCCCGCTGATCCCGGGCTCTGCTGTGCCCGGTGCGAGCCCGGGATCAGCATGGTGCCTGTGTCACAGGGGATCAGAGGGAGATCATTACACGAGCTCCCTCCGGTCCCCTCTCCTCTGAAAGAATGCGGAAGTGTTGTATAATACATCACTTCCGCATTCTTGTGTCACTCTCCAGCTTCAGAAGCTGCAAAGAAGCTGATGGAGCAGATCTGTGCTTCATCAGCTTCTTTTGGGGGGTCCTAGGTGACATTAGGGGTCTTGGAGACCCCTGATGTCTCCATAAAGAGGACCTGTCACATATTTTGCTATCACGTAGGGGGGTTTTATTAGCCCACGTATGTGATAGCAATAAAGTTTAGTGAAAAAAAAAACAAAACAAAATTAAAGTCCCCCCCCCAAATTTTTTTTAAGTTACACATAAAAAAAATGTAAAAGTCCCCACCAATACATACACGCATGCAAACATGCGTCGGGGGCGCATATGTGCAAAAAAGACGATTGCGCCCATTACGCCGCACTATTACATATCGCCGTGAAGGTCGGCGTGAGAGCAATAAGTCTATGACCATCAATCACTGATAACACTAAACTGATGAGCGGTAAAAGCTTTTAAAGCGTTGCCTATGGCCAATTTTGGGTATGGTAGTTTTCTGCGATGTCGCAGGTGCGCGCAATTTTAAAGCTTGACATGTTTGGTGTCTATTTAACTGACGTGACCCCGACTTTTATATTTTACCAAAAAACTGGGTAATAATAAGTGTTTCCTAACAATGTAAAAAAAACTTTTTTTTTCAAAATTTTCAGTAATTTTTCCTAATTATAGTAAAAAATAAAACCTGTAGCGGTGATTAAATACCACCAAAATAAAGCTCTATCTGTCCCAAAAAAATTGTATAAAATTCATTTCAGTACAGCGTTGCATGACGGAATAAACGTCAGTCAAAGTATTGCAGCGCTGAATACTGAAAAATGGCCTGGCCAGGAAGGGGGTCTAAACACCTGGTCTTGAAGTGGTTAAAGCAATGAAATAAAAACCAAAAAAAAGCTTAATAAAAAAAGTTAAATAAAATGAATGTAAAAACACCAAAAATAGGCCGCTGTGCACATACTAATGTAAACATGTGTGCAACTACGTATGAAAATAACGATTGCGCTTCACATACTGAATATTGCCATGTGCGCTAGAGTGAGAGCAATCATTCTTCGGCCAATATTTACAGTTAGGTTTAACCTGATGACCTGTACAGGCTTTTAAAATGTCACCTTTGGACAATTAGTAGTACTGTATTTTGTCGCCATTTTACAGACGCACCCAATTTTTAAGCTTGGCATGTTAAGTATCGATTTACTCTGCGCAACCCCATCTTTTGTATTTTACAAAAAAAATGTGGGTATTGTATTGTGTTTTTGTGCGCTAAAATTAAGTGGAATTTGTACTGAAATTTGTGTTTGATATACAGTTGTGCTAATATCATGCAACAAAAACCCCTTTTTTTAGGCCTGAAAATGTAAACCCCTCCAAAATGTTATATTATATAAACACACACACTGTATAGATACACGTATCCCCAATAAAGCACTTACCTGACTGCTCTATAATTTGTCCTTGCAGAGTCACCACCCTCCATCTTTTGTCTTTCTGAAAGGCAACTCTGGTTGCTTGATCTAAATTATCTGCAACAAGTGTATCTCTCAGGGCAAAGTAGAATGCGGGTCTTATGTGCTCATCCTTAACCTTCACCATATCAAACAAGCGAGGGATGTTTTCCGGGGTTTGGATCTTATTCATTCCTTTCTGCCACACATTCATCTGTAAAGAAAATTAAAAAAGGTACAGGGTGTAATAACCAAATTTTCTTTAAAGGCAAAACAAAATAAAATAAAAAATACCTTATCTAAGCCAATAAACGTTGCAACTCCAACATTCTGCTTCTTCAAGAAGTTGACACACTCTTGTGCTGTGTCAATAGTATCCACCAAAATATGATCCAAAGCTCCACAAGATGAGGAAATGGCAACGTCGTATTTTTCATCAATAGCTCCAAGGTCACCCTAACAGCATAAACAATTGTTACTCATTAATGGTACACACTCGATTCACAAGGTATGTTGAAACAATAAAATGACAGCATATAAATAACTAGTTATTTGCCTTGTAAAACAGTGATCTTTACTACAATAACCTAAAAAAGTCAAAATGCTTAGGGGGCTTGTCTACTTTTAACAAACATTTGTACAATGAGGGTCACAGCTCTGATTAAACAACAAAGGAGAAATGCCCACTAGGCAAAAATATTAAAAAACTGGGTGTTTAAGATATGGGAAGCTGCAAAGAAAAATAAAATTGAGGTGGAGGATGGAGATGAAACTATTTGGTAACTACCAACAGAAATCCACCAGAAACAATGGACACGTGCATTCTCCTGAGCACACCAAGTAAAATTAGCAGGCATGGGGGGGTCATACCCTATACTGTTTAATCATCAGAACTGTGGCCCTCGACAATAAAATCAAAAACACAGTTGAAATTACAGCTTAAAAGAACTTCTTCCAAATGACATAAAAACAAATAAACTATTGGTGAAGTAGGGCATGAAATCTTCAAATCAGTTTCTTGGTTCGTGGGGTGATCCTAGATTATGTTGGATGTTGTGATATCAGCATGAGACACAGATGGCAGTGCAGCAACTATGAGATCTCAGATGACTTGTCACATCTGACCACCACAGCAAAGAGTAATCCCCTGACAAAGTAAGCTCTGTACAATTCTGAGACTTACTTATACTGCTGCCTCCAGGAGAAATAGACACTAGGCGGAAAAAATAGAAAGTTACCACTTTTAAGGACATATTCCCTGCCCTCTGCCAGCTGAAGCAAGCAGTATGAGAGGAAATGAGGGGAGGCAGCTGTGTCCTAAATGAACACTGAGAAAAGGATTTTACGGTAAGAAGAAAAAGGTCCTTCATAAACCTATGCTGGGTGCTGATTATGATACCATTATCACAGGCAGAATTTTTAATCCAGTCCCATACCATCCCCTCAAATACTTTGCATAGCCTTTTACAGGACCATCACACATTACAGTATTGGTGTATGTTAAAAAATCTGAGGGTTTAATGTCACTTTAATAGAGACTTAAAAAAACCACAACAAAAAAAAAAAAAAACGGTGCCTCAGTCTGTACACTGCCATATATTCTAACCACTAGAAGCGGTTTGTGAAGTCCTATGTATGATTCTCCCCCAAACAAACTGCTAGCAGGGGAAGAAATATTTAAAAAATCTTATTTTAAAAAGGTATGCTGTGTGAATGGGAACCCATAACAACATTACAGTGGGGGTTTCTCAAATTAGGCAGCAAAAGTAGAAATACACCAAGAGTGCTCCCAAATAAACCCAAAGTGGGAAATGGTAGCAGGAAGCATCTTTAATTTTGCAGGTGGAAAATGAAGTGATTGGGACTATTTTTAGAAGGGAAATAGGATTTTGTTCTTCTCGTAAAATCCTTTTCTTGGAGTCCATTGAGGAACACAGCTCTACAGAATTTTAAGAAGTAGGGTTATATGCTGGCACCTCCAGCAATTGGACACAAGACACAAAATGTAAAAGCCGGCCACTTTAAAGCCCATTTCCACCTTTGCAGAGGTATAAACATATGCCAGCAATGAACACAGAGTGTACATGAAACAGGCATATGAAGTTAATGTATTTGAAAACAGAAACTTAAAATTATTTTGTTAGCTTTCCACTTCATAATCTAATGGAAATGCCTCTGTTTTGCAAGATCTTTTTGAGCTCTCCCATTCATTAGTATTCATAGTGGCACCCCCTGTCCATTCACCCTCCAGACAGTGTATTGTGTGCAAAGGCAGAGCTGGTGTTTACTGATCTTGTTACAATGAATAAGAGGGAGAGCTCACACCTGCCAGTTCTAGAAAGCAATTTAAAAAGGAGATGAGGGGATGGAGATGGGTCCCTGAATGGACCCTGCATCAATGTGATCTGAAACGACCCTGGAGATTGACAGCAGAGCCCCAAGAACAATCTCTTCAGAGATGGACTCTGATCCTGAGATACAGTAGACTAATGTCCTGTTTTAGGGCCCCAGGAAGGTCAGAGATGGCCTCTGCAGGGTATGACGCTGAGACACACTTACAGCTTTGGAAGTCAGAATCGTGGGGAATTGGGTAAATCTGGTCACAGTCTTGAGTTGCCGTGAAGGCCTCTGACAACAGGGAAGGGGACGTTGCCTCACCCAACAGAGCTGAAGACTCAAATGATGTAAAGCCTATAACTATGAGATCACTGCATTCCAGATAACAGGAGATCTGGAAGGATACTGATCAGATGCCCTGGAACAGCTGGGAGAAAATAGGATGATGTAACCAGTAAGAGCAGAACTGTCCCCATTGTGTATATGTGCAGGTACATAGGTGGATAGCAGGGGCAGGCCAGAGCCTGGAGTCCCATGTGGTGCTTGCAAAGCTTGGGCAGTAGTGGGAAGGTGCTTCCTCTTATGATGAATTGCAGTAAAGAGAAACATTTGAAAGGTTTCAAGCAGTGGAATAGTGAAGTAGCTCCCAGTGCTTTATCCCAAACAGCATAACTTAAATTTAGCCTTCAGAGACAGGGTCATGCCTGCAACAATGCCACAGGTCTGTACCTGGAAAGAGCACTGGGGCTAACTTACCAGTACACATAGATCTGGAGACCACCACAATGCAAAGCCCAGGGCCCAAAGATCCCATTCCAGGGTGGCCCTGCATGTTAAGCGGGGTCTGGGTATAGCATTCCAAAGTCAGGCTTAGGAAAGACTGTCTAGATAGTAAAACAAAAAAACCCTTGCGCAGTCTGAGATTAAATGGCTTTTCTTCTAACCTCTTGTTGTGCCTTGTATCATCAATAGAGTTCTTGGTGTAAACATTTTATTCTGAATATTTTGGTCGCCATTAATGATTTTAAAAATTGCAATTAGGTCCTCATAAGTGCCTCTTTTCTGAGAACAAAATTTAAATTTTGGAACTCACTAAGTAATAAATGAACTTTTGCACGATATTCTAATTATTTGAGTTTCACCTGTATGTGCATGGGGAGGGTGCAGTGAGGTCTCCTTAACCTCCCTGGCGGTATTCCAGAGTGTGGCTCGGGGTTAATTATCAGTACCAAGAGCAGCAACCCCGAGCCACACTCGCGATTGCGCATAAGTGTAATTTACCTTGTCCCTGCGAGCCCGCGGTGTCCTCTGTCCTCCGCAGCAGAGGGCAGGGCCGGCGGGAAATTCAAAAGTGAAAACATGATATTTACACAGAATACAATGTAATCTGCTATAATTACATATATTTATCAAACTATTTCACTTCAATTTTGTCCCTAGAGCTTTGTTCAGTGCCCTGCCTGCACCTTCACTACTCTCTATTGACTGTGGTACGGATCAGGCAGCGCCCCCAGAATTCCCATATACTGGACCATTTTGTTTATTATTATATTATAATTATATACACTTTCTTCTGTCACTGAACGAAGTGTAATTCTTTAGGCTAGTGGTGAATACTGTGCTTTGTAAACACTGTGGTCCTTACGGGCACCAGTTAAAAGATAATTGCACTTTAAAACAAAGTGCATTCATCTTTTAGGCCCCTTTTAGCTTTAACCTCCCTGGCGGTATGATTATGAAGGATTTTAGCATGCCAAAGCGGTACATTGTTTTTCATGGCAATTTGTTGTTTTATATTGTAGGCCTGTAATTCTTAGTAAATCTTAGGAATAACTCACCTAAATCCATCCAAACAAGAGTCCAGTAGACATCACGGGTATGATAAAGTTTGAAACACGAAATCACAAATTATAATTATAAGAAATTATAATTTTATGAACTATGCCCAGAAAAGAATTTGCATGACATCTTCCCGTCAGAACATTCTTAAACTGTAAAATGTACAAAACGTACCAATCTGCCGTAAATCCCAGGAATTTTTCCCTGTTTCTTCTGTTGAATTAGCGCATCAAGAACTTTTCCTTTGCTGCGATTTGCAGACAATGAACTTCTGGACTCCTCCACCTTATTTCTGATCACCCTGACCTCATTCTTCACAGCGATTTCTTCTTGTGTAAGCACTTCCAGCTCACTCTCTTTCTGTAAATATAGTATGACAAACAAAATCAGCCTACTACCTTATGTTAAGCAGTGTAAAGGATCTACTAGCACATAAGTGGGCAACAATGTTCTTTTTTTGGCACATGCAGAGGGAAGCAATTTTTTTATTTTTTTGAAAAACATATTTTAATTGGTCACAGAGAATTTGCAAGCATGGAGACAGCACATAACCAATAGTTAATTTCTTATTCCAAACAATCCATTATCACCAATCAAGTCCACAGAAGTTAAAGCAGTAGGGAAAACAGACTATTATGAGACCTGGATTCCTGGTCACAATGTTCTCAGAGGAGAAAGATATTTCAATATTTTCACTAATAGATGCATGGTATCTATCTATATATCGAACTCTAGGTTTGCAAAGGCACACAAAATCTAGTTACAAGGTGCAAACCCTAGTATGCAAGGTGAGGTGGTATCGCTGCAGGTTAAAATAATGCAATAAAGCACAAATAACACAAAATGCCTATGGTACAGTAATAAACTGAAGGCTGCAGACTAAAATGATCAATGTATTTGGGAAGGACAAGGAGGGTGGACACTAAAAACAGAATTAAAATACTAGGAAGTAAAGGAGCATTTAACTAGTATGGCTAGAAGCAGGTATATGGCGTTAATTATCCCTCTACTCCTAGTCATGTAGAGAAACTACGTACACCTCATGGATATTGTTACATATTAGATCTTAGATCAACATTAGATCTTTATCCAAACAGTGCCCACAGGTAAAGGTGCAAAACGAAGAAAAAAATAAATTTTCCTTTTCCAACATTTATTCAACAAAACAAACAAATAGATGTAGTGGTGACATTGTGTATGCATTTTCTGTAACTGCACACCAGGCTCGACATCTTCATGCACAATAACTTCAGTTGCAAGAGGTTTGTGGGATAACATTTCAACTGGAATTAAATCAGGGCTTCGACTAGGCCAGTCCATAACCCATTATATATTCTGTTTTTAACCCATTCCTTGGTGAATTATGCTCCAGGCCATTTTGGTGTTGAAAGACCCATTTATGGCTCAACTTCAACTTTTCAAACAATGGCCTCACATTCTCATGAAGCAGTTTGATAGGATGCAGAATTAATAAGTTGACTCAATGAGTGAAAGTGGCCCAGACTCTGAAGCAGCAAAGCAAGCCCAAACCATAACATTTCCACCATGCTTCACAGTTGTAATGAGGTTCTTCTCCAAAAATGCTGCCTTCGGTTTGTGGCAAACGTGAACAACCAACACTATCTTTGATTGATCCGTCTACTGCAAATCCTTCCAGAAGGCCAGCTGCCTATGTTTAATGGAAAACTGTAGTCTTGCTCTAATGTTCTTTTTGGATAGCAAGTGCTTTTTCTTAACACACCTCTCATGCAGGTTTACACTGGTCTAATCTCTTTCAGGTTGTAGGTGTATGCACTTTAAAGCCAACTGTTGCAAGAGTCACCAGAATATGATATGATAACACTTGTGGGTTCTTGGAGACTTCCTTTAGCATCAAATGGTAAGTTCCTGGGCTAAACTTTCTGGGCTGGCCGGTTCTGGACAAATAAGCAGTTGTTTGAGATCTATGCCACTTGTAGATTATCGTTCTTTACAGTGGACTGATCAGGATATAAAAGGACAGAGGAGGAAGAGGAAGATAAAACTATTTTGTAACCGATGGAAACCACCTCTCAAATCCAAGCATCAGAAATTTGAGCTTCCCATGTCTCTGGAAATACCACCTTTAGACATTCCCCCCAACTGAGATGGAAAAGGTGGAGGCTGACCTTGATGCTGAAGCAGACTTTTCTGAAGGCTTGGATGAGTTTAATTGCCAAGAATGTTTAGAGCAGGGGTCTCAAACCTCCGGCCCTCCAGCTGTGGTGGAACTACAAATCCCATGAGGCATTGCAAGATTCGCACAGCCACGACTCCCGAAGAGCGATGCATAATGGGATTTGTAGTTCCACCACAGCTGGAGGGCCGGAGGTTTGAGACCCCTGGTTTAGAGAATCCGTAAGGCTTGGAAGTGTCAGACGTCTTATGATTGGGAACGGAAACCCTGTTTAGAACAACTAAATGAAAAAACACAAAAAATGGAAAAGAAGGATCAGACTTACAACGCTGATCCTTACATTTTCTCATCTGAGATAAGAGCTCACTTTTACCTCCCCATAGCCTTTTTAATAATTCAAGTATGGTCCCAACATATAAACAGGAATCCCCAGATAATACTGGCCTGACTATTAAATTATGATATCAGGAACTCAGCACCACCACAGGGTGAATCATCAGCACAGAGACTAGAAATGACCTGCTTCTGGACAATTGGAGAAGCTTCTAGGTTTAATCATATCTGGCATGAATCTACCAGTTTTGTTGGCTAGATAGAGAAACTTCCAGGATTTAATAATATCCGCCATGAATCAACTAGCAGCTTTTGAAGAATCTCAATGAAGAAACAAAACTAAAATAATGAACTGAAAGTGAAGAATGCATCCATTCTCCTGAAGACGTGTGAGGAGAAATGTGCTTAAAGTGGCAGGCTTTTCATTTTTTGCCTAGTGTCCAATTCTTCTGGAGGCATCAGCATAACCCTATGTGTCAGAATTCTTCAGAGCTGGATTGCTCAATGGACGATTTAAATAGGACAGGTTCCCCCGGTATATTCTCTAAAAAGGGGTGCTAATCAAGAGCATGAAATGGTGGTAAATTTATGGCTGTACTTATTTTAACAATATATCTGCATTTTTGTTCATTTACAAAATTAAAATTAATGTGCTATGTAAATGTTATGTGTCTTTTGTTCAAGTATATCACCATTATCTGTAGACACGATTAGAATTAAAATGTATTTTCACTTTAGCAACCAAAGAAAACACCCACTTTATATATTTGTTATAAGTTCCCAATTACGTAGCATAATAAAAAAAAAAACCCCACACAATTGCTGCTTACAGTGATTTTTACTTGATGAAAAAAAACCTACCTCGCTTGTCCTTATGTAATATTAAGGTGGGGCTGTAGGACGTAAAGTTTACTCTACTTAACCCTGTCCATACTGTGCTGGCAGATTTCATTATCAGTTGTAAACTAATTTATAACACTGTCCTAAATATTTTAGGAGACCTGTATGTCAAGGAGAGGAAGCTCAAACTGTACCTCTACTTTCACTTTCAAAATGTTCAAAGTGGGGTTTTCTCAAGTTTGGCTGCAAAGGTGGAAATACACTAAGATCTAATGTTTGCCTGTTCAAATATGTTAAAAAAGTAAACAATTTCCATGGGTGTACTTATTTTTTCCCATGAATGTGTATTACATACCTTTTTAAGGTCTTCCGTTGCTTTTGGAAGTTTGGTCTCCAGTTCTTTGATGGCAGTTTTTCGTTCTTTCAATGTTGCTGATGCAGTGTTCAGCGCTTCCTTTGCTTTGTTAAACTGAGACAAAGCTGTATTATGGCGACTCAAATAAATGTCCAGCTCAGACTGGGCCACATCCATCTTTGAGCGGGTTTCATTCACATTCTTGTTAAATTCCATCAGTTCTCTCTCTTTTCCCTAAAGGCGATATACATATGACAGCTATAAATATGTTCTAATGTCTTGAGTTTTTTTTACACTTGAAACATAAAAATCGCAACAATGTCTTATTACCAGAGTGTGAAAAAACATCACCAGTCGCAAAATGCTGCCTTTCCAATAAAAATGGTCAATGGATAAGTTAATTCTGTTTAGTAAATTTTCTGCCTATAAAAGGGAATGAACTCCGCTTTCAGTTTGCAAAACAGTTCAAAGTAAACACAAATTACTCCAAAATTCTTAGAGTCTACCCTTTGAGTAATAAAACAAAACAAAAAGCAGTCACATTGATAAAATTTGCATTTAGGACTGCAGAGCATTGCAAATGTGATCAGTGCATTGTGGGGTGAAAGGCTTAGGATCTTGTATGATTTACATCCCAGAGCCAAGTTCATGTGGAGGTATAAACCTTCTGTTGTGGAGCTGGAGGAAGTAAACAATGGTCTACAAGTGTGGTGGGTGATATCATTGCATTTGTGCTCCACTGGGATCTGTAAGGCCCTCTGCGGGAGCAGCAGGGTTGGTTTTATTTTTATAAATTTAATTTGTTAGTTACTTTATCACTTTTTTTTTTTCACAAGCCCCTATTTGACAGCATTTGGAGGTGACAGGTTCTTTTTATAGAGACATCAGGTCTATTAGACTCCTGATGTCTCTCCTGCCCTCCAATACAGACAATCAAGCACAGGATTGTGCTTCATCATCTGTTCACCCGGTACTTCAGCAGGCTTCTGACTGTTCTGAAGTAGGAAGCGCTGAAAGCACAGCACACATTGACCTTGCTTCACTGATCACACAGCAGATCAGGGAACAGACGCCCTCCGGTCTGTTGTTGACAAGCTGGTCCTGCCTGTCTGACGTCACCAATAACTGAAATGGAGGGGGGCCTGCACTGGGCTATGGCAGGCAGGGGATGCACCAGCCTCGGAGGCCGACGTATCCACTTTCAGCCAAGCATAAGCCAATGCAGGTCGGTGATCACGGTCTGCCATTTTGTGACCCCTGGTCTTGAAAATGGTTTAAAGCAAATGCACATCCAGGTCTGTTTATCCCCCATTCATGTTCCATAATTCTTGCTATGATGGAACCATCTTCATCTTTAAAAAGTGGCTACAAAAATGTATGAGAAAATAACGTGACACTAAAAAATGTAGCGCATAAAAGGCATCTCACTGCTCCAATTCTCCTGCCACACGGACTCCGCAGGTGCTAGTCAAATAGGTGCGCTTTCACCTGCCAAATGCTGCATAGTACAAATAGACCGCCCTCCAAAGAGTTCCAATATTTCAGGTTTTATTGAAATCCACACCAAGTCCACAATAAATGTAAATGTACAGATATGCACCAATGCCGACTTTCTGTGTATTTCAATAAAGCCTGAAGTATTGGAACTCTTTGGAGTGAGGTCTAATTGGACATTGCAGACACCAAAACATACCTAAATTACAAATATTTTGGTCTCTTTTAAACAATCTGAAATAGGTTGACTGTCAGATTGATTGCAAAACCTTGTCAGGCTTTAAAGGAGAACTATGAGGTGAGTGCTTTTCACTCACCTCATAGTTCTAGCCGACCTGCGACAATGAGACTGTCGCAGGTCTGCTCTGTAGATCGGGAAGTGAGCGAACACGTCCCGGCGTTCGCTCACTTCTCGATCCTGTCACAGCTCTCTGCCGTGACGGGAGTGGCTGGATTCCCCCCTCCCCGCTTCTCCAGCGCTGACTGGTGGAACGGACGGGGGAGGGTACAGCTGGCTCTGCCTCTAGACAGGCAGAGCCAACTGTCACTCACGCAGCTTGGCAGATCCAGACATAATTGTCGGGATCCGCTTCAGCGTCTCAGTATAAAACGAGCTGTGGCTCCCGGTATACAGAGCTTAGGGTGACGGGAGGACACTAGTTTGTGTCCTCCCGTTACCCTAAGGAGAACTATGGGGAAAAGCCCTAACCCCATAGTTCTCATTTAAGGGCGTGTTAGTTGAACATCAAACACTACAACTAGTTATCAGCACACCCCTCAGACACTTTAATTGGTTATGCCAATTCTGTCAAGGGACTAGAAAAGATGCCAGCTTTTGCAGCTCAGCAGCTGTATTAAAGCGAACATAGAATGCTATTATTTTAACATATCAGATTGGATTTACTCTACAGCAGACTGGACTGTGTGAAACCACAGACCAGGCAAACTTTGGTAGGTAGTTTTCACTTGTGTATTGTCTTACACCATTTTTCTTTGTTTCATAAAAATATTTTAAAATCATGAAATCTTTAACCAGATCTCTAATCTTTAAATGGTCCAAATCAGAAATAAAAAAACGTAATGACTTTTTGGTAGAACGCTACCATATTTAAAACTCTGATACATTCCTGATCCTAGATTCGTCAGCGAGTGTCAAATATTTCTTAAGATAAGAATAGCTACAGTGATGTCCAGTCTGCTGGCACTTAAATTGTTGTCTCCTGAGCTGGGAAATCTCTCTAATATACGAGAGAGTGTAATAATCACAAATCCGCAATTTTTTCAAATTTGGCTGAACCACAGTGAGCAGTTGGTTGCAGGGCAATCTGTTCCGAGAAAAAAACAAATTTCATAAAAAAAACAAAAAAAAAAACATGAATATATCTATCTTTACCCCTCTATCATTATGAGGTTTGTAATCCTGTACCCGAGAAAGACTGACAATATCCTGAAAAGCTGTAAAGAGTATACAGTGATGGGAAAAAGATAGAATTTTCATACTTTCTATAAAATTTTGGAGATCATTGAGGGACATTTCGTAGACACTTGGTGATACTGCCACCTACAGGAAGATTTGGACACTGTTACGGACATGCTGGGAATGGTCAGGGTTATACCAGGCTGGTAATTTTTTTTTGCCATGTGCAAGACTATAAAAACAGAACTGGTCACTGCCTAAAGCTCAAGGACACCCGAAGCTGGCATCAAATGAGGCTTGACCATACACATAGTAAAACATATAGCATGTGTGAACAGATGACCAGGAGTCAGCTTTGCAAATCTGAAAACAGTTTTCTGATGCCGAAAAACCCAAGAACTCACAGATCTAGTTGAGTGTGCTTTGGCAGGAAAGAGTGAAACCCGATCCAAAAGACCATAAGCTTGAACAATGATCTGTCTGAACCACAACAGGAAATGTTGGAGCAAGAAGCTGGTTCTCCTGTGCAGGGACCATCTGGGATGACAAAGAGAATCAGTCTTCCTAATGGAAGCAGTGGCTACATGGTACAGTATGAACTAAATCCAGCCAATGAAAGGAAATATCCTTCTGATCTACTGAAGACAGACAAAAGGGATGTAAGAACAATATCTTGGTTGAGATGAAAGGCTGAAACCAGCTTAGGAAGGAAAGGGGCTCTAGGCCTCAATATTAACTTGTCTCTAAAACTAGAAAATGTTCTTTACAAGACGAGGCCACCAATTCAGACACGCTCCTCACAGAGGTGATGGCAACATGCAACCTTGTGAGCGAACGTGGGAAGGGGAATATCTTTTTCCAAATTCAAAGGGCATTTTTTGAAGTGCCAAATTTAACTTCCATTCCAGAATGACGGGAGAATATACAGGGGTATATACATGAGAAAACACCATGTACAAAAATTTTAAAGAATGGGAAACTAGCAGTCTAGAACTGGAACAAGATCGCAAGCACCAAGATTTGGCCCCTAATGGTACTCAAGGCAAAAAGTGGAAGCAGGCCCGATTGCAAAAAGGTCAGGTGGCGTCGCACAGGATATTTTGTGCTATGAAAATCTTTCTTTGTAAAAGTATGCCTTCCATGTGTGAAGTGACTTCCTACCATAATAACAGGGATTACCGATTTAGAAGACCCTATATCCCTCAATACCCGGGGTTTCAACAGCCATGTTGTTAAAGCCAGCAACAGGTAAGGAGCAAAAGTACCAGCCCTTGTGACAAATGGTATGCGCGCATCCTTGATGTCCACAGAGGCCAGAAATTCTCCCTGATGGTGGGAAAATATGACGGATCTGGTGAATGCCATGCAGATTTTTGGGGTCTGATTGAGGACACGTAAAGTCTTGAGATTTAAGATGGAGCAAATGCCCCTCATTGATTTTGAACTGTGAACTTGGGTCTAAGAGTGCTCGCTAAGATCCTCCTGCTCAGATAGCCGTAAGGATCCCGTCGGCCCCCCCTGAGTAGCAAGGACAGAGGCAGAAAAAGGCACAGGGGTAGAAGCAACTGTGGGAATTGGAGCCCGGAACCCCTCTAAAACAGACCTGAAGGAATTAAACGTAGCAGATAACTCCTCCCTAACAGAAACCAACAGGTTGCTACTGGCTGCAGCAGACTCTTCCCTAAGAATATCCTCAATGCATTTCTGACAGGGTTTTAATATAACCGGAGCTCAACTTCACCACACAAGCTGCACATTTTTTCTTTGGGGCCACCTTCGTTTTTTCTTTAGCCTGAAAGACACCAAGGAGCCCTGTTACCCACTGTCCTTCACTCAAAAACGGGGTTAGAGTGTCCCTCAACACCAAAGCATCCAACACCAAGGGACCCCAGGTGGAGGAAAAGAAATATCAGAGGTAACAGGGAGGTAAGATAGTACACATCTTCCATACCTGAGCCGTGCTGGTGCTTGGAAGACCGGTATCCGCAGTCACTGCAAGCTGCAGAGGTAACCCAGGATCCATGTCCGCAGAGCCTGTTGAAAAGAAGCCTGCCAGCGTTTCCTCTCAGTCACTACTGAGATCCACGCTGTATTAAGCACCAGCCGAGCCCTCCCCTTCCTCCTGCGCCGAAAACGAGGCTTGGAACGCACAAGCCCGGCGCCCGGAAATGACGTCACCCGCGCCGGAAGTGACGTACGCGGCCACCCGGCCTGGCCGTGGAACACGTCCCGAGGCCCTGAGAACCGGACAGACCCCTCTGAACGGCGGTCCACCGTTTCCCCTGACCAGCCAAGGGGGTTTCGTCCTCCCGGTACCGGCCCGCACTGGGCACTGAAGGGGGAAAGGAAGCCAGCCTCATCTCCTGCAGCGCTAGGAGAATCCCTGGGGCTCACACAAGGTAGGCAAACCTACCACTCTGCCTTACACAGGCAGGCCATACATAAAAGGAATACTTCCCGGGCAGCATCACCACATGGAAGCCACGCTCAGCGTTCTGTGATGCGCTCCCCAGCTTGACTGAGGAAACACAAAAGACTGAGGGAGTGGAGGAGAGGAGGGTCTTTTAAACAGATTAAGTGACGTGTTTCCTGTGTGTGAGGGAGGAGATTCCATCTCCCGTGATGCTGTCCTGGAAGACGTTATGGGAAACTTAAGTTTGTAGCCCCTGGAAACCACCTTCTGCACCCAGGCATGTGATATGCGGTTTATCTAGATGTCTGCCAAGTAGGGATGCACCTATGCGATGTAACTATACAGTTTTTCCGGTATCGAGTACCGATATTTATCTTTTGGTACTCTCCAATATAGAGTAGAGATATTTCCGCTAGCACAGAGGCGTCTTTCCGGCCAATCAGGAACCCGGGAGGTGGGTCATTACCCACAGCCCGGCTTCCTGATTGGCCAGCTCCATGCTGTTTGGCCGGGAAGCCGGCTTCCCTGCCAATCAGCATATAAGCTGGCTTCTTTGCCAATTAGGACACTAACGATCACCATTTTGCTCTTTCCTCCTCAGTGTTTGGTGGACAATACTAATAATACAACAAAAATAGTACTATGTGTCCCCAGAAACGAACAGGAAGTGCTTTACATCCCTTTCGGTTCATTGACGAGTTTCTCAATGGGTGGAAGCCTCAGTATAGTTGTTCTACCCATTCATAACTGGATGATAATAAATGTTTTAGTAAAACCAGTTTCTGATGAATGGGAAGCCTCTGTACTTAGTGCTTTACATTCATTGAGTGCTGAGCCTGCAGAAAAAGATTAAATAACTCTGTCTTCGATTTCTTTTTCTATTTCAAAAAGGAAATGTCATGGGTCTGTTTGGACCCCTGATATTTCCCCGAAGTCCCCCCAATAATAAAGAAAAAAACCCACTACACAATCCCACCCAACATACTATACATGTGCAACAGTGTGCACCATGCCCACTTGCTGTGGTGCATGTTGGAACAAACGCTAGCAACGCAGCTGCAGAAAATTTAAACAATGGGAAAAATTGCAAAAATGGTGAGGCCAGCTGAGATTAAAACCGTTCGAGGGCTTGGCAGTGAAAGGCTTAAACAATATTGAAAGAGATGTTCTTTATTACTTGCACTAATGGTTCTCTTGCACCACAATCTAATTGTTTATTATGTTTAGTAGGAATGCACCGATATATCGGCTGCAAACGGCACTTTTGGCAAAATGCCAAAAGTGCTATTTTCTTGCCAATATAGTGGTGCATCCTACTGGCTGCCCTGTATGCCAGCGAGGAGGAGAGAAACTATCACAGGCGGCCGGGAGCGTTGAGTGGCCAGCATCTCTCCTCCCCGCACCGCTCAGCCTCCTGTCATAGATCAGTGTGTGGGGGCGGAGACAGCCAGCGCTGTCATAGGAGGCTGACCTCTCCTCCCGCACGGTTCGCTCAGCCTCCTGTGACAGCTGTCAGGAAGGAGAGCGAGGTACAAACACTCAGTGATCAGTGAGTGTTTGTAAATAATTGGGGGACAGGAGTATGTTTAATACATCCTCAATTATGAATGAATGGGAGTGATCTACATCACCTCCTGTTCATTCATGATTATGGATATAGTAAATACACAATGTTCTCATGTTATGAACAGGAACACTCAGTATAGAGGCTTCCTGTTCATTTATAACAGGGGCTGCAAAAAAAGATTGAGGACACAGAGTGCTCAATTTCATTTTTGATTTTAAAAGTACCAAAAAAAAAAAAAAGTGAAAGTTTATAAAATATTCTGCACTGTGTGCTATCCCAAATTATTTTTTCCCCCCTAAGATGATCCAATTATTCACCCTTTATCTATTATCCAACCAAAGGTCAACTGAATTGTAATCAAACATTTATCAGTATCACTCAATTTACAAGAAAAATACAGCAGTTAGCACTGACACAATGATAAACAAGGACCTCTAATATTTCAAAAGCATTACAGACCTCCTTTTCCTCCTGTAAGCCTTGAGTTTCTTCTTTAAGGTTGTCCATAACTTCTTTAAGTTTATCTTCTTCCTTTTCTTTCTGTTTCTCAAGGGTTCCTTTTTTACCGGTAGCCTCTTCAATAATTTTTTGACTATTAGCAGGAACACTCTTAAATTCTTCAACCTAAAATATAGGAAAAAGTGCATGATCCTTTTTATGACTTATTAAATGGTAAACCCATAAATCAGCAGTTAGCCCAAGAACAAGCTCTACCTTTTCTTTGTCCTTTTGAAGTTGCTTCTGAAGCTTTTTTACTTTGCTCTTTGCATGTTTGAGCTTCTCGCGTAAATCCACATCTTGCAAGTCCAACTGTGTAAATTTCTCTCTGCTTTCCTCAACAAATTTGTTTATTTTATTCATCTCCCTTAATAACAAAAAAAAGGTAAACATTGTAAACCTAACAGAGAAAGCGTATAGTATTAGTTGCTGCGTCTGTAGATGAAAGCTACCCTGTACGTTTATTTTCACCCTCCTTTTGACGGGCTAGTGTTACCTGAGGATGGCAGTGTGTCCAACACTGTAACTGGAAGCTACAATTACCGTATTTTGCGGTCTATAAGACGCTCCAGACGATAGGGCTTCTGTGACAGAAATTCTGTCACAGAAGCTGCAGTTAGTGACCGCTGAGACAGGTGGCACTGTCTCAGTAATCACACGAAGGATGTTCTTCGTCTGCTCAAGGGGCTCTATGGTGAGCTCCTATGGGGGACCGTGACGGGTCAAGGTCACCCAGAAGAGCGTGGGACCCCGAAAACCACGGCAGGGGCGGACACGATCGTCGCCGCCACTCGATTTAATACTAGGGATCCAATTAGATCCCTTGTATTAAACGAGCAGCGGCTCCCACTGTACATTCAGCTCTGCTTGTCAGGAGCAGGGCTGAATGGACAAAAAGAAACTACTCGCCCGGCGCCCAAAATTGCATGTTCCGGGCGTCAGGCGACAGGTATTCGCTCCATAAGACGCAGGCACATTTCCCCCCTCCTTTTGGGGGAAAAATAGTGTGTCTAATGGAGCGGAAAAATACGGTAGATTAAAATAGTAAACATTTTTGTTTTTCAACGTCTGTCAGCCTATAATGAAAGGCACAGTAGGGTTTTTATTAAAGCGCACCCAAGAGCCCAATTTAAGAAACAAAATGCTTTAAGTAAGCAAACCAATCAGAGTCATGTTAACTGAAGCATTCAGCCCGGCATTTAGCTGAATATGTATTATTTATTATGGGTATTTATGAAGTGCCAACAATTCATGCAGCACTTTACAAACTGTACATTCATACGAGTCCCTGCCCTTAGAGAATTATGGGATGAGTGAAAAACAAACAAACATTCTTCCCCATAATTCAAGCCAACCTGTGACACTACAACTGTCACAGGTCGGCTCTATTGATGGGGAACTAAGCAAACAAAATACCGTTGATTGCCAAGTTCTCAATACTCTCCCTGCAGAGAGCAGTGACTGACAGTCACCCCTGCAGGGATTCCCCCCACCATTTCTCCAGTGCTGACTGAAGGAATGGATAGGGGAGGGGGCGGGCAAAGCCAGCTGCCAACCAGCCAGCACGGTGGATCCTGACAATATTGTCGGAATCTGCCCCGGCAAAGAGAACATGCAAACTCCGTGCAGATATAGTGTCCTGCCTGGGATAAGATATGCCCTACTGGTGAGATCCAACCCCTAGATGCAAAACTACCATAGTCCCAAGAAAATTTAATGGACCAGAGCTTTTAGGAGAAGCAGGGGTTAAAAAAGAAAGGCCGTGTGAGCAAATGTCGCTGCAGGAGGAGAGCTGGGATAACAAAGGGCTGTGTCCACTGGCAAAAACTATCTGCGTCTCCGTTAGTACTGACTGCAAGTGCGTGTGGAGAAGCGAGGCGGCACAGTAAAAGGAAACAGTAAAAAGCAGGTAATCTTGCATTTACACCTCGGCAGTGCTGTGTTAGCAGTGTCCTGGCCATGAAGAAAGGGAGTGGCGGGAAATCTGAAATAACAATTCTGTCATAAACAGCTTCCGGCCGCTGGTGCAATATACAGCCTGAACTAAAACAGAGCAGGGTTTCCCATTCCCCAAAGGCCAGGTATAAAAGTAACATATTAATGACAAAACAAATTCAGTGCTGAGGGATACAGCTCTGAAGAATTCTTATACGTAGGCTTTGCTGCAGCCTCTAGGAGAAATGGACAATAGGCAAACCAAAAAGAAAAAGCATGCCACTAAAGACATAACCCTCCCACCTCACAACCAGGAGTTGTATAGCAAGCAGTATATATGTATATGAGGGGAGGGAGCTGTATCCCTCAGTGGACTCAGAGAAAAGCATTTAACAGTAAGAACAAAATTCTATTTTTTCTATCATCCATTTAGGGGCACTACTGATATGCAAGGATGTTCAAATGTAATCCAAATCAAAAGGACAGACACTACAACAACCAGTTGAACAAAAAAGGAACTGTAACCTCATAAATTTAAACAGCTGCCTGAAGAACTGTCAAAACTGGAATCAGAAGAGACAGAATACATCAACTTTAGAAAACGTTGCGACAGAAGACCAAGTTGTGTTGTGTATTTTGAGTAATAGAAGCCCGATTTTAAAATGCCGAAAAAAGTACTAATTGACCTAGTAGAATGAGCAGAAAAAGGCCTTCAGGAAGAACAAATAAAGAGTCAAAATGTCTAAAAGGGAGCTGTGGCTGACAGACAAACTAAAAGGCATGAAGAACATACAAACAATTAAAAGAAATTTCCTTAGCCTGACCCAGAGTTGGTCAAAGAAGGAAAAACAATGTCTTCATTTTATTAAAAAGTAGAGACTACCTTGGGTAAAAAAGGAATACTATGGTCTGAAAACAACCTTGTCCTTATGAAGAACTCGGAAACCCTTTTAGCCAAGGTAATGCCCACGAGAAAGGCAACCTTTTGAGATAACAAACATTGAAATGTCTCATATTAGGTTCAAAAGGAGGCTTTTGCAGAACAGATCAAAACCAGGTTTAAGTCCCACGGAGGAAGAGGCAACTCACGTGTAACTCATTGAACAAAAAGTAGGAAATGAGGAATTAGAAGCCAGAGGATGTTAGGAAAAAAAAAAGGACAGACAAGGCAGATATTGGACCCTTAATGATACCGATAGCTAAAACATTGATCTACCCCAGGATGAAAGAAGGATTATATTCGCAATATAGAAAAAGCCCATGGGGAGAACTCCAAGGACGCAAATGAAAATAAACATTCCATGTATGGTGATACATTTGACAAGACCTATGAGCCCTCAACATAGTCGGGATAACATAATCTGAGACTCTATGTCCTTTAAAACCTGGGTTTCAACAGCCAAGCCTTTAAAGCCAGCGACCGAGAAGACTGGATCTTAAGACAGAACCAGATGGGAATAGCACACTCTGCAGTAGCAATCTGGAGCGACGAGAATAAAAAGGATTCCTTTGTATTCTATCCTGCAAAGCAGATGAAGTGTCGATGTTAGTGGACGAAAGGCATACATCAGGAAGTACTGATCCCATGGAACTACTAAGGCACCCCCCACATCTGCCATTGGATCCCTTACTCTGGATCCAAATCTGACCACCTTCATGTTGTGATAAGAAGCAAGAAGATTCATAACCGGCAATGTCCAGTGCTTACAAAGATGTTGAAATACCTCTGGATGAAGAGACCACTCAACCGGACCCAGAGTTTGTCTGCTGAGAAAGTCTGCCTGCAGGTGGTCTACTCCTGGAATGTGAAAGACATGGAGTTCCTCACAATCCAGGACTGAATGAGCCTCTTTCACCGCTGACACACTCCTGGTGCCTCCCTAGTGATTAGGCCACCAGCGTGACACTGTCCGACTGAATCTGAACAGAGTAACCAGTAAAAAAAAGACAGGTCCATGTTAAAAAAACGCCAAGCAAAAATCACCCTCAACTCCAGATTTGTTGGAAGCTTGGATTCTTCTAAGACCAACAACCCTGCACAGGCAGATGATCCAATACTCTGCCCTATCCCACAAGACTGTAAACGCATCATTTTATGGGAAGAAATTACATCCCCATTGTAATGCAGGAGACGTCAACAACCACGGCAGAGATATCCTGGCCTGGTCACTCAATCTGATCATCTTGTCCAGCAAAAGAGGAGACTGGTCCCACACTGCAAGAATGTACCTTTGAAATAGCCTGGAATGGAACTGAGCAAATGAAATCACTTCGAAGGTGGATAGCATCAAACCCTAAACTATAATGCAAGTTCTCCGAGAGGATCTGTAACAGGACCGGTGACTGAACTCGATCTCGCAATTTCAATATCTTGTTTTGAGGAAGTAACACCACTGCTTGAAAGGTAACCAACAGAAGTTCCCAGTACACCAAACTACACAACGGAATCTGGCATGACTTCCCGATCTTCACAATCCATCCGAAGTTATCTAAGGTCCGTAGCATCGTTGAGACATTGAACTCGAGTCAGAAGAGACTGTTCCCAATGTAAAAATGTCATCTAATTACTCTTACGACCCAAGAGCCCCAAAACCAGAGCAAGAACGTTTGTAAAAACCCTTGTAGCAGAAGCTAGGATGAAGGGACGAGCCACAAATTGATAATGGAGATTGCCTACAGCAAAGCAAAGAAAATGCTGGTGAGCTGAAAGTACAGGAACGTGTAGATACGCATCCTTTATTGTCTTTTGAAACCAAGAAATCCCCTTGGCGAAGAGATGCGACAACTGATTGAATGGATTCTATCTGGAATTTTTGAACACATAGGAGGTATTGAGATTTTTTTAAAATCCAAAATCGGTCACATACCTCCGTTGGGTTTGGGGACTGTAAACAGGTTTGAGTAAAAACCTTGAAAATGTTGTAACGAAGGACCTGGAATTCTAACACCCTGATCTAACAGACCATGAATTGCACAAAAAAGGTCTGCCCAACGATGTAGAGACATAGGAAGCCAAGACACAAAGAAGCGAGGAGAAGGAAGATGAAACTATCTTAACTGGTGGAAACCACATCCCTGACACAAGAATCCAAAATCTGAGCTTCCCACGTCTTTGCAAATTCCATCAGATGTCCCCCCCAAACGAGATAGAAAATGTGGTTGCAGACCTTCATGCCGAACTAGACTTTTCTAAATGTTTTGTATTGCCAAGGATGTCTAGAGGCCCCAAAAGACTTAGAATTATCAGAGGACTTTTGAGATTGGGAATGGAAACCTTGTTTAATATGAAAGGAACGTTGAAAAAGGCAAAAAGGAGCAGGTTTAGGACACCGATACCTATTTTTCCGCATCTGAGGTGTTTACTTTTACCTCCTGTAGCCTTTTTATTAGTTGTATCTGGTGATTCTCCGAAAACCTGATTACCAACATAAGGTAATACAATAGCCCTGTTCAAAGGGAGGGGGAGGGGAGGTCCTACAGCCACACCCAATAAGGCAATGCAAAACCAGAGAAGACAGCTCCAAGTCAAAAAGACTGAGAGCTAAATGTAATGTTTTACGGCAAATATAGGACCTTCAGAGGCAATTGTAAAATGTATAAAATGTACCATACGTTATTCAAGCCATTAAAATACATACATACATATCTATATAGATCTATATATTTTACACACATACATATTGGAGCACAGCCTAAGCTTAGACGTCACTAATATGGGTAACCAGAAACAACCTGCGTCATTAGGAAAACTTGCTTTGTGACCTCTTCAGGACAAAACAAATACCAAGACCAGAAACGTCCTTTTCTGGTCTTAGTATTTGTTTTGTCCTGAAGAGGTCACAAAGCAAGTTTTCTTAATGAAGCAGGTTGTTTCTGGTTTCCCATTATTGGTTACGTCTATCCCTCAGGCTAGTATTGTCTGGGGATTCCTGCAGTGACAAAGGGAACAGGGCCATAAAATCGTCCTATTTTCTGAGGACTACAGGAACTTTCAGGATTTAATTGATCCGGTATGAATCTCTAAGTCAATTCGGCTAGCTAGTGAAACATCCAGGATTTAATACCATCTGGTTTGAATTACTAGAAGCCCTTGTGCTCTGAAAAAACAGAACTAAAACAATAAAGCAGAAAGTAGGAGACATCAATCCTCCCGAGGACACTAAGCGAAACTGGCAGTTGTTTTTGTTTGGCTAGTGTCCATTTCTCCTAGAGGCAGCAGCAAAATCTACGTTTCAGAATTCTTAAGAGCTGTGTCCCTCAAAGGACAATAGAGAAAAGATTGTAATCACTTGCAATGGTGCCCAGCAAGCTGCAGAACATCCGCAAAATGTACTCCACACAGGTAAAAGAAAATAAAAATCCTCAACATAGAAAGTCACCTGCTAATCACAGAAAAGGGAGTGTACAGAAATAAAGACCAGTGAACTGTCACAGCTCTTGTTAGCTTAGCAAGGAACCCCCAGATACACTGGCCTGACCTTAGGAACAGACAGACCGGTTGTCAATGCTGACTGCAGAACCACTACATAGAAAAGACCAGTTTACCTAATGAATTCAGCCAACTAGAGAATTCCAGGATTTCCAATATCCAGCCTGAATATTCCACTAGCTGTGGATAGTAGAATAATCTTACAGCGCAAGCAAAAGAAATAAAATATTGAAGGGGGGAAAGAGACATTTATTCTCATAAGGATACTAAGCTAAAGTGGGAAGGTGCGGTGTAGAAGGGGTTATAGCCTCTTCTACAACTTTCAAGGGGGCAGGTCTTCAACTTTCTATGTGCCCATTTTTTCTGTAAGTGGTAGTATAATTCCGAGGTTTCTTACCATTAAGCTAAATGGACGACAGATAAATGCCACTTATGGTTTGGCAGAGAAGGCAACTGTACACCATTTCAGTAGCCACATGATTGTTGTACACATATATGGGAGATTTTTTTTTGAATTCTTTATTTCTGCAAACATAAGAGCACCTACACAGAACCGTACATACATCTGGGCCGTGCGGCCAGGCATTGTCATACATTTGTATAGAGCTTCAGAATATCTTGTTCACTACCGTCCAGCCCGGTCCGCCCCCTTACAAACCACAACTATCGGATCTGCATCTGTACTCCCATGTCTTTTCCCTTACATAACACTTATGGCTATACAGTAATAACACACCAACTCCCCAAAGGATACTCTCCCTCGACCGGCGCGGACAGTTCCACGGTAACACTGCACAACAAAGAACAAAAGAATACACGTACACGAAAACAAGACATCCGGGGGGGGGGAAGACAACGTCCAAGTCCCGTTCCACCGGAGCCACCATCATACTGGCATCCTCTCCAGATAGCTCACCCCTGGCTGCCCTGGGGGAACGCTGACGAGTCTCTGAACAAGTACCATGCTGCCCAGGTGGGAGAACATTTTTTATCAGTTGTTTTCAATGTTTGTTAAGTCCTTTCAGTGCCTAAAGGACCATGAAGCCATAAAATATCATCCCCATGCTTCTGAAACCTAGCTTAAAAATAGTTTACACTGAAATACACACACACACACACACACACACACACACACACCCACACACACACATATATATATATGTATGTATGTATGTATGTATGTGTGTGTATACGAACACACACACAGTGGCATAACAGTCACCATAGCGACCCAGGCGGCAGCTATGGGGCCCGGGTCGCTATGGGATATGGACGGCCAGATGCCGTGCGGGCCGCCTGGGTCGCTATGGGATGTTCTGCTGGTGGCTTAAGACGAACACGCCACTGTTCAGATCACTGACAGTAATCTGTGCAGCAGCGTGTTCCTCTCCAAAGAGTCAATGAGAGCCAGCAGCGGCAGTGGAGGAGGAGGGGCCCGGAGATGAAGGAGGCGGACAGGTAAGGAGTGCGACCAGCCCTCCTGAGGGTGACCCTGCATAGCCCACCATAGAGAGTATATGGTGTGCTTTGCTAGTTCACCCTCAGGTGGGATCTCGAGTGGCCTCTGCAGGGGGTATAACTAGAAATCACGGGGCTCCATACAAAATTTTGCTGTGGGGCCCTGTGATTTCTAGTTACACACACAGACACACTAAGAACCACCAATTTTTAAAATAAAAAAAAGGATTTAAAAAGGATTACAAAAAAAAAAATGTTTTACTTCTCCACATCTTTTATAGCTTTGCTCTTTGCCTTCATTTCATCAGCAAGGACATTGCTTTTCTCGCTGATCTCCTTCGTTTCTTCTTGAACCGTCTCTTTCTTTTGCTCTTCCTCCTGAATACGTTTCTGCATTTCGTGTCTGCAGAAATTTGTACACAAAAAAAAGGAGGGGGGTAAACCACAATTGTTATTAGAGTAGAGGTTACAACATTAAACACTCACTAAGAAAGCAGACACAATTTCTTATTATACTATTGAACCAATAACTGCCCATACAGTATATAGCAAATGTTATTAGGATGCAGCTTTGTTGTTTTTACATAAAACAAAAGCAATTTTGTTAATAAGTGGTGTAAAGGGAAGTCATCTGCAGTAACAGTTTTTGCATCTGGCATTGTTGCTTTTAAGTAGCCATAATGTGTTACTTACATGTAATACTGGCAGACTTGGTTCTTCATCTTAAAACTTTCGTTCTCCATATTAAGAAATGCAACTGCCGTATTTTTTTCACCTTCTAATGCATCTTTCTCTTTCTCCACAAGTTTAACTCTGTTCAACTGTTAACAGGGGAAGAAAATAATACAATAATACTTCTAAATGACACATACAGACACATATATACATATAATATATATCACACCCCCCAAAAAATGTATACACTTCAACATGAAAAATATATGCATAAAAATGTTACTAGATTTAAAAAAACATCAATGGGGAACTGCAAGTCATGTTTGAATTATGCAATCACATTAGGTGCTCAAAGTGGTCACCATTAGCATCCAGACACTTTTTATTTTGGCACACTACTGCATGAACAACATTGACTAGAGTGTCCACACGGATTGCTCTGCATGATACTTCAATTTCTTCCCGTAGTGCAGACAGCGTAGGTGGTTATCTAAAGGTATACCACACATTCTTTAGTGTTCCCCACAGATATAAAATCGAGGGATGTCAAGTCCGGGGAGCATGGAGGGGAGGGAAATCAACAGCACCTCTGCATCCTGGCAGAATGTCATTGAGATAGGCTCTTATGTCACGGTGGTAGTGAGGTGGTGTACCACTCACTCATTCGCACAATGAGCGAAAACAAAAACGACACGCGTATAGATGGGTGACCTAACGTGCAAACACAAAGTTCAATTGTAAAGTTAAAAGAGGCCCTGCCCCCTGCCAAACGTCATTAAAGCAGATCACACTAATTACCCAATAGAAAGACGGGAGGGACAGAGAAATGGACAACTTCCCAGCTGAAGGCAGTATTTGGTTATTGGATTGTCACTTATATCAAAGATGCAGTTTAATACTTCACTGGTGATTGCAGGTTTAATTGGAACCGCAGGTTAACATTGGGTCAGTGACTATAAAAGTATTATAGTCAGGGACCTCGCTACACCTTCATTTTTTTTTTTAAAGAAAGGAGGTGCTTAATAGCCTACATACAGTCGTGTGAACAAGAAAGTACACCCTCTTTGAATTGTATGGTTTAACGTATCAGGAAAAAATGAAAATAATTTGGCCCTTAGCAGGTCCTAAAATGAGGTAAATACAACCTCAGATGGACAACACACAATGACGTTTTACACGGCCTTTGTTTTTTTTTTACAAAGCCAAAATGGGGAATGCTGTGTGAAAAACTAAGTACACCCTTTACTGTTCCATAGGTATTAAAGTGACATTAAATCATTGTTTTTTTGTTTACTGGGCGAGACTTTAAAAAAACTTTATTCTTAAATGTTTTTATTTCCTCGTTCTCTAGTGGTATCCAAACTGCAAGCACTTCCATCAGCTAGGCCGGCTGCTGTGGAGGCGCCCATGCGTGCATACTCACGGCCGTGCCCACATCTAGCTGTGTGCGTCTATAGACACACGCAGTGTGCACCAGGCCACGCCCCTACCCTTCCAGTCACAGTTTAACTGATGGCAGAAGGAGCCTATGACTCCTCTGTCCTCAGTATCCTCCCCCACAACAAGGAAGTTTGGGAAACCCCGAGTATCTCCCTGGTCACGGCAAAGGAAAGAAGCAGCTACAGGTGTATGTGTATCGGGGTGGGACGTTTTTTTCCCCAGAAAAGTACTAGATGTTTTTTGCCGTTAGTACTACTTTAAGTGGCTAAAGGTGTCCATACACCTTACAACCATCGCAAGACTTTTGTCTTGCGATGGTTGTAAACTAATTAAAAGCTTGTACGATCTGCCCATCTTGGACAGGCAGATTGTACTTGCGATCATCGATGACTCCAATGCCGCACGGGCACAAAAGATGTGCAACCGTACAGTGGAAACGGTCGCACGCCTTACATACACCTGCCGATCGTACGATTGCGGGATTTCCCACGATTATCGTACGATAATCGCCAACTGTATGGGCACCTTAGCAGCCAGCTGCTGGTTATTAAATGTCCTTGATTAATCATCAGCAAGTGTGACCACCTCTATAAAAGCTGAAGTTGTAGCAGTTTGCTGCTCTGGAGCATTCAGGCGAGTAGGAACACAATGCCAAGGGAGGAAAGACATCAGCAATCTTAATGAAGCAAGTGTTGCTGCCCATCAATCTGGGAAGATTTAGAAGGCCATTCCCAAACATTTTAAAGCCCATCTATCTACAGTGAGGAAGATAATGCGCAAGAGGAAAACATTGAAGACAGTTGTCAATCTTCCCAGGAGTGGACGTCCCAGCAAATTCACCCCAAGGTCAGATCATGCAATGCTCAGAGAAAACGCACCAAAAAACAAGATTAGACTACAGACCTTAGTCAGCACGTTAAATTTTAAAAATCATAACAGTGCAACTAGAAAAAGACCGAACAGCACAAACACCTCATGCCAACTTTTAATGCCATCTACCTTATTTTAACATGCCGTCCCACAGGAAAAATGTGATCACCACCATCCTTCACTGTATGTATGGTGTTAAGAGTCACACCAAACAAAATTTTATCATTTTGGCCGAAAACTCTACCTAGATATCATCTATCCATTTAACATGTTCCACAACTGTGTTGCTGTCATGGCTCCTGGCAGATTGTGTGACTTTATTTTGTTATTAAAGGCTTCCTTTGTCCAACACTCCCTAACAGGCCAGTGTTTTACAGAGCTCTTGATATGACCCACTGGTCTAGTCTCAGCTACTGAACTCAGTCATGGTCTGTCCGTGGCTTCTTTCACAAGTCTCTAGGTTTGTGCATAAAGTTACAGGAAACTTCTTATTTGGGTGGTGATTTCATGTAACTAAACTCTGATAATAACCAAAACAAGGCCTGGTGGGATATGCAAACATTTACATGATTTAAACTGAAAGCGTAAAACCTAAATACAATTATTTTTTCAGTTTATCAAAGATTTTCATTCCGATTGAGAGCCTGTGTCACACTTGGTAAACTGTAGTGCATGAGGCCAATCTCACTAGTCTAGACAATCACAACATGGAGCAAAAATCTTATGCATTTTTTTATATTAGAACACGTTTTGTTTATAAATATACATAGAAACACACACTAAATATAAATGCCATCATGTATACACATACATACCCAGATACAAGGAGCATGCTGCATCAAAAAATAAGTACAGAAAAATTACACATTTACCTTTTCCCCTCTCTGCTGATTTAATGCTTCAACTCTTTGACACAGAATTTCAATTGGTTGTTTTAACCTTTCTGACCCAATAATATCCTCTAAATATTCCAGCATTCCTTCATCGTGTTCAGTTTGTCCTTTTGGTTTCATCATTGCAATCTGTTCCACTTCACCCTATCATGGAAGAAAAAAAAAAAAAAAAAAGGTGGAAAATTATTTTAAGGAAAAAAAAAAAAAAAAAAAGAAGTGTTGAAATCAGCTAATAAAGACCGCAGATAACATCTAGTCTATTCCCTACCCACATAACAAGTAAAAGACAAATGTATTTTTATAACTTTTTTTGACATCATTTTTATTTATAGGAAGGTGAGCAGGTTTAACTTGATGTTTGTACACACTATTGGCTTGCATCCCACACTGCTGTTAATAAATCGAAGATAAAAAAGGCTTTACTTTGCATTTATATTAGCTAGGAAGAGAGAGAGAGAGAAATTGGGGCCTAAAACGTGATTATATTTTCTATGCACATGCATACACACAATTGCATTTTAAATTCCTAAACCAATTTACAAATAGTTCTAATACTCCCCACATAAATGTAAAATCATTCAAAATATGGTTGCTTTACCTTGAAGCGCAGCCCTCGTTTTAAACTAAAATCATGCTGAGTCTTAATTCTGATTCCTAATGGTGACATGCAGCACTAAATGGTCTGTTTCAAAAAAACTGGTGCAAGAGTGAAACTTGTGCCCTAGCAAACAATCTCATTGTGGAATCGAGTGGATGTTATGGGTAACACATGTGCTCTGGTTTATATAAGCAAATTCTCTCTACCTTATCACAATGCATGAAATGAAACCGTTTTAGCTACTGACAGGAATGAAGATAAGATATTAATACTTCATCCCTCTTATCTTAGCACCCATTGCAGTCAGGAGCATATCAGATAACTATAGGTCTATAAATAAAATATACAACTATAAAGAGGGAGTTTTACAAACACAGGAGCATTTTCATTTCAGCACAGTATTTACAATTATCTATATATTCCTTTTCATTTGCAGTGTACCATTCACATTTTGCTTGTTTTCCTAATTTTCATGGTTGTATTTCATGAGCAGATCAGTACATTGTCCACTGAGCAATACACTTAATTGGCCATATGCAGCATCTCACATTACACTATTGTTTTATGTTAAAAAATCTGAGGGTTTAATGTCACTTTAAAGGTAAGTGCTAACATCAACATGGGGGGGGGGGGGGGAAACATTTTTTTGACTTTGTCACTAAGTCATGCCACAGATTCTCAATTGGATGGAGGCCTGGGCTTTAGCTAGGCCATTCCCAGACATTTAAATGTTTCTCCTTAAACCACTCAGGTGTTGCTTTACCAGTATGCGTAGGGTCATTGCCTGCTGGAAGGTGAACCTCTATCCCAGTCTCAAATCTCTGGCAGACAAACAGCTTTCCCTCAAGAATGTCCCTGTATTTAGCACCATCCATCATTCCTTTAATTCTTACCAGTTTGCCAGTCATTGCCGATGAAAAACATCCCCACAGCATGATGCTTTCACCACCATGCTTCACTGTGGGGATGGTGTTCTTGGGGTGATGAGAGGTCTTGGGTTTGCACCAGACATAGCATTTTCCTTGAAGGCCAAAAAGCTACATTTTAGTCTCATCTGACCAGAGTACCTTCTTCCAGATGTTTGGGGAGTCTCCCAAAAAGTTTCACATTATTTTATAACCCAACCCTGATCTGTACTTCTCCACAACTTTGTCCCCGACTTGTTTGGAGAGCTCCTGGGTCTTCATGGTGCCCCTTCTCAGTGGTGTTGCAGACTCTGGGGCCTTTCACAGATGAATATATCCTGAGATCATGTGACACTTAAATAAAGACTACCTGTGTGCAATCTAACACTAACTTATGAATGTTGCATCAGATCTCATCTAGAGGCGTCATAGCAAAGGTTGTGAATACATATGCACGCATCATTTTTCTGTTTTTATAATCTTTTTAAAAACAAGTTATTTTCTTGAGTTCACTTCACCATTTGGACTATTTTGTGTATGTCCATTTACATGTAATCCAAATAAAAATGCATTTTAATTCCAGGTGGTAATGCAACAAAAATAGGAAAAATTAATACTTTTGCAAAATATATATATTTATCTACACACACAATATAAATTAGAGGGATGCACCGATATATCAGCCGAAAATTGCACTTTTGGTAAAATGCCAAAAGTGCAATTTTTTGGCCGAAATATTGGTGCATCCGTGATTTCTCTCCTACCTGCTGGGCGCTGCTCTGTGTCCCATCGGGGGAGGAGAAAACTTGTCACAGGAGGCCGAGTGGTGCGGGAGGAGAGTGCTGTGAGCGGCCGGCGTCTCTCCTCCCCGTACCGCTCAGCCTTCTAGGACAGATCAGAAGTGCGGCGTTGTGGGCGGAGACGGCCATAGTTGAGCTGAGCACTCCTGCACCACCCCTCCCAGCCTCCTGTGACAGTGACTTAGGATGGAGAGCGGGTGCAAATAATTATTTACAAGCACGCAGCTTTCACTAAGGACAGAGTATGCTTACTATGTCCTCAAGTATAAATAAATGGGAGTGATTTACATCACGTCCTGATCATTTATGAATGTGGATAACAATTTACATATTTAATAAAAATAAAATATAAATTTGTTAAGTTTATAAAAAAATAAACATTAAATATTTTTTTAAAAGTTAGAATAAAAAACATTTTCGGTTTCGGCCTGACTTATTTCATTTTGGTTGTAAAATTTTCATTTCGGTGCACCTCTAATAAAATGATGTATACAGTAAACTCCCGGTTATCCGTCATCCACGAGGATTGGTAGATTCCGGATAAATGTAGTTTTTGGTTGCTTGAGAGTTTCTATGAAAAATAGGTCTAATGTTATACCCTAACAAACTTTGCATTGACTTCATATTAATATTGAAATGCAGTAATCAAAAGCAAATTAAGACATAAAATAGACACACGATCATTTCCAGGACAATACATGCTGCAGAAGAGTACACAGGGAATTTTCTTTCTAGTTAGATGAGAGTTCCGGTTAGTTGAATACCGGATGGATATATAATCTATATTTTTTTTTGTTATTAATTTTTTTAGTTTTTTTTTGGCCAGAGCAAGTGGGCTAGATAAAGCAGCTTAGAAGGTCTCCAGTGGGCAATAAGTGCATCTGACTATCTGAAAAGCTTGTTATGCAACGAGACCAATTTATTGCAGTCTCCATGAGAGAGGGTAGTGATCATTCCTTTTTCTGGAGAAGAACCAGGATGCGAGCTGCAAGAAACCATTAGCTAGGTCAGGAAAAGGACAGACAGATTGCTCCCTACTCTTCATTTTTGCAAGACATCTTCGGGGCATGAAAACTTTAGTCTTGTTATATCAAGGTTACTTTGTTACTCCCTGTAAAGTATTATCCAATACAACAGCACCATAAAGAGGTACGACTTTTGGTTACTCCCTGTGTACAGTATTATCCAATACAACAGCACCATAAAGGAGGTACAACTTTTGGTTACTCCCTGTGTACAGTATTATCCAATACAACAGCACCATAAAGAGGTACAATTTTTGGTTACTCCCTGTGTACAGTATTATCCAATACAACAGCACCATAAAGGAGGTACAATTTTTGGTTACTCCCCGTGTACAGTATTATCCAATGCAACAGCACCATAAAGAGGTACAATTTTTGGTTACTCCCCGTGTACAGTATTATCCAATGCAACAGCACCATAAAGAGGTACAACTTTTGGTTACTCCCTGTGCAGTATTATCCAATACAACAGCACCATAAAGAGGTACAACCTTTGGTACTTAGAGGTGCCTGCCAGCTAAATTAGAACCCCACCTGGAGCTCCTCTCGCCTGACCAGCGCGCCGCTGACCCATCCCTGCTCCCCTGCGGGGTTTTTTTTTTCCTTCTTACTTACCTTGCTGAGCGTCGCGTCACTGCTGCTCCGGTGGGCGGCGCGACGCTCGGCGAGGTACGTAAGAAGAAAAAAAATAAACATAGCGCAAGCTTCGGCGCTAGGCATCGGGGCATTTTGACAAGTACAAGTACTTGTAAAAATGCCCTGTATCGGGCCCGATTCCGATGCTAGCAGCAGGACAGAAATAGTTACAACCTAGTTAAATGGAATAGGTGAAGACATTTATGGAAGAATCAAAATAAAAATGATGATCATCATCATCATCTTCAGATAAAAACAGCTTTGGACTCACAAAAAAAAGTTTGGAAACTACTTCAGGCT